CAATATGGAACTCAGTTCTGTAGTCTATAATGAGTAAAGCATCACCATTGCTTAAGTATAACCATTACAATATTATTTGTCTCCTAGCTTGAGCTTCTGAACTTATAAAGGTCTTACATTTTGATTAAAACAAAGTTTTTCACTGCCCCTACATACTAGGTCCAAACTTCTCGAACTTCTAAATGCAGAGGCTGGCATGTGCCTCTGCATGCCTACTTGCCCAAGACCCAGAATACTACTAGGATTCTAGGGTTTTGGGGGGTATTTGATGTTTTAAGAAGCAGAAACGTTCTCATTGTGAAGGATTTGATCAGTCAACTAGTAGACACTTGATTAATGGAACTGAAATGGAAATAACCCATCATCCCCTCCCTTTCCTTCTCCTCTCAACCGTCCCCCCTTTCTCTCCCTTCCCCTCCCCTCCGCTCCTGGCCCCAAGTCCTGGCCTTGTTCTCTATCTGTGGGACGTGCAGAACGAATGACACAGATGTTGTTGGAGGAGACAGCATCCCCCGTCCCTCTCCTCCTCTCCTCCTTCTCCTCCTCTCCCTCACTCCCAGCATGGGGTCTCCAACTTGTTTTTCAATCATTGTTTCCTCCAACTTCTTTCTTTCCCCCCCAAAAGAGAAAACAGAGAGGGCTAGAGGGTTAGAGGGAGAGGGAGCAAGAGAGCAAGAGAGGGAGGGAGGGAATGTGAACGCAAAGCATTATAAAGAAACATTCTTTAAAAAAAACACACATTCTTTATAGCAATCTCTGAATAACTTAGCACAGGTCAGAGGGAAAGAGTTCTGCAGATTTAGATCGCTGGGTTGGCGCTTGAGGGGAAGCCAGCGCCTCAGATGCTTGTGTAAACGTGAAACGAGGAAGAGAAGGGAGTTCCTGAGAGGAGCTACTCCATCTGAAGATGCATCTCTCAGCATGGCTTTTCTGGATGGCATGCTTGTGCACCTGGGTGGAGGCTTCTGGCCGCTGCCAGTGTCGCTGCACCTGCTCACCGGAGGAGCAGCAGCCACAGGTGGGACAGGGGTCAGAGAGGTCAGAGGGCAGAAGGCGTGACCACCGCCGCCTGGCACACGAGCGTCCGTCATGGAAAGACAAGGGTCATCGCAGGAAAGGTAGAACGTTTTGTTGCTTTCTAAAGACTTTCACTCTCACTTCTTTGGATTCTAAGCATGGGTCCTTGCAGGTTCTACTGCTTTATTAGTTACACTGGCTTTCTCAAGATGTTTTCCATCCCTGCATAAGGCAGAGCTGATCATTATTTTAGTCATCACCCCTTTAAAAGTTTCAAGTTGTAGTTCGCAGCGATGTGTTCAGGTGATCTACATACAAAACATGGCTTTTCGGTGCTTATCATAATAAGAAGATTGAAAAGATGATTGGTTATGCATGGATTAGGTTCTGCATGCTTGTTTCCGCTGTGATCTGAGAGAATTCCATTTTCCCATCTCCGACGGCAATGTCACGGCTGCATTTGCAAAAGCTTGAAGAGAATACCTCTCGGTGTGTCAGAATGGGGGCTAGTGCATGAAATCAGCGTTACAGATAAACTCTTTCAACAGAGTGATTTTGCGCTTGGTCACTGATTTCTCTATTTATTATTACTGCTTTGAAGAGTCTGTAGTAGTTATCATGGTTCAGTTATACAATTCAAGCAGATGGCTGATGATGTTGGAACCCTAACCTCATATATATATATATATATATATATATATATATATATATATTAAGTGGTTGCTGGGGATTATGCCACATAATAATAATGTTGGGACATAACTGCAAAAAAGTGCATTAGAAAATCATTGGAAAAGTAAATGGTGAGGTTTAAGCTTCTCTAACTTTGGGTCATTGACCTCTGTGGAAAATGTTGTCCATATAAAGATAAATGTATTGACTAAAAAAGCTAAAAAATGCCATTTTTAGAGCTGTTATCCTAGTGAATACTTCAAGTTGTTTTAAGTTGAATAGGATAATAAGAAGTCATTTTAAAAAGGTTTAAGTCAGCTATTCTTTGGATCAACTCTCCTGTGAAAAGTCCAAAAAAGGTTATGTATCAATGTACTTAACTCAATTTTTGGAAGACTTGTTAAACAGCAAATGATTTCATAATGACAATTCTGCATTACTTTGGTTTAACTGGTTTATAAGGCAAGCTTAATATTAGTATATTAATCCTTAATACTATCACTATAAAGTTTGTGCAATAAGAAATGCACTAGATATTGCTTTGGAAAATAATTTACAACAGCAGTTTTCCCAACAGACTGTTTTTAGTTCCTGACTAGAGTTAACCTGTGTGCAGAAATCATTTGGTTTGCTCTTTGCTGCTATTGAGTAAATCCTCTTGCAGGCCTTTGTTGCTCTTTCTCGTTGAGTGGCTGTGTGGTGGAATGCCGTCCGATCCACTGCTCTGTCTTTTGTTGCGTCTGAAGGCTGGTCGATGTGCGGGCCATCGGGGCAGTGATCTCGGGATCAATACGCGTCTATCACTGAAGCCGAGGCCATTTAAACTCACAATAGACACTTCACTAAACGGCACTTTATTTAGAGCTTCCTTAAAGGAAAATGAACTGCCACTGCCTCTGTCTTTTTCTTCCTCCTTTCTTTTTGCTCTCCCTTTTCTCTCTCTTACTCCATTCTCTCTCCCGCTATTCCCCTGAGAAGGCATATTTACATAGGCTTTAAAGTAACCGGGGTCAGCTAGTAGTAGTCTGTAGTAAATGTTTAAGGTCTTACTAAACTTATTAAACTAAATATTTTATTAGTCAGTGACGGTTAAATTGAGTGAGATTGCAGCTTTTCGCTATGCCAAAATCCTTTTTTCTTCTCTTTTGCATTACATTCTTGTCCTGTTGCTAAAGCACAGAGGTGAGGAGTAACCGGTTATATTTACTACATTTACTTGTCAACTATTTGTCCAAAATTATCCTCTCTTATCAGTTGTTTGTAGTCTAATAGTTTTTAAATTCATACATTTCTAAATAATTAAATCACGAAGATGTTCAAAATAGCCATTTAAAGAGGCCTAAAATGATTTTTTTTAAAATATGTTCTTGGCATTCAAAGTGTTATAAGCCATTATAATAGTACCCAAATAAATGCAATCTTTCAGATTTACTGCCATTTTACCATTTTCAGCATTACATGTAAAAATAGGGACCTGTGGTTACTATCACCACCATTTCAAAGAAATCTTAGTTTGTAAGTTTCTCTCCAGTGCACCATTTCATACCAGTCCACTCTGAATGACTTTGTTTACATCTCAATGATTGAATTATTCAGACATTTTTGAAAAACTGGTGAAATTCCTCTTTAAGGTGCACTTATTACTGACACAGGCATTCAGTTCACACAGCTTGTAACATCTCTATAGAACAGCATTGCCAACAGAATGGGACACTCTGGAGCTGCTTCACATGAGCCTTAGGTCACCCTACCCAATTCTAAGGGCCAGCTTAGTGGAACTGCTTATTAATGCCCATTATTTATAAATACAGCAGGTGTCTACAGACATTTGGACATGTAGTGTACTTAAAGAATGATTTGATGGATTTCTGCTTCTCTGAGTATTTACAAATGTCTCTTAACTCTGTTCCACTTCAGCCATTCACTTTGAATCACTAATTCTTGACAACAGTTCAGTATAGGAGGCTTTATAATGCCTTTGTAATGCACTAATTAAGCCTTACCAAGCCAGTAGTTGGTAATAAACTGGCTGCATTTTTCAGCAATAACTAGGGCACTTCTATTTGTGTATTATGTATCATAATCTTTTGCACATTTAAGTGTTCATTATTGTGCCCTTAGCAAGCCTTATCATGCCAATAGTAATAATATTCTTATTAAGCCTTATTGAGACCAATTCAAGACCAAGACCATGAAAAAATATGGGTTTGACATTTCTTCATGTTTTGGAATTGCATTGTGCATGATAGTTGTCATTATAATAAATTATTAAATAATATTAGCCTTAGTTCAACTGTGCATTTTGACTTTTGGAAACAAATGACAGTTGATGACGGTTAATTATCAAATCATCTCTTGATAAAGCGACGCAAGTACTTTCTAAATACTTTATTTACCTTACTCACTGTTTAATAAAGTAGTAATAAGCAGCAAGAGCTCACAGTGTTCATTTTCAAGATTTAGCTTCTTTTCTTAGACCAAAAGTAACCCAAAAAGAGAAGCTTATGACCTACCAAACTTTAGTTCCTATGCTGATCCATTGCAATTGTATGGGAGATTCATTTTTAGACTACTTTTGCTTCTGTTTGAGTCATTATTTCTAACTAACATAATTTTTTACGAGATAATGTGTTTAGGCTGCTCTACCAACCTATGTTGAGAACCATACATACTGCAGTGACTCTGTCTCGCATGACATGTCAGAGATTTTCAGCTTGTGTCATTGCAGGAGCTGAAGGCATTTCCATGTATTGTCTTGGAGCTGAGAGCCTCTGCGCTTTCCTGTTTCTGAGGCAAAGTAAATGGTTGTCATGTTTTCAAAACTGAGGAAAACACACTGGAATTAAATGATGACATTTGGGCTCTTGATTTTAAGTGATTACATCTGGATGGATTTCCAAACAAAGTAAGACCCTGCTGATGTGCACTTTTAGTTACAGGGTCTGGGTTTAGGATTTATTCTGTGTGGAAGATTCACGAACAGTTCATAAAAGCTACAGCACTATTGGACTGATGAATCAAAGCTGTGAATTAGCTGTGTGGTTGGCAGATGAGAGAGTAAACACACCACTGACATGTCACCTTTTCTGGAGTTACTTCTATTCCCACCTGTACTGAGTCAAGCCCCGCCCCCTGCACTGCGATTCGCTGCTAAAATCCACGCTTCTTGGATTGGCTACTGGTTCTTGCTCACATTCGCGTCCTGAGACCAGCGTGAGTGGAACGCTTCAGCCAATCCTAGCGCCGGGGGGCGGGGCTTGGCGGAAAACGTGTGGGAAAAAATACCGCTATTGCTCCGAGTTTACCGGGGAGTGTCCCGAATCCGGATGGCGCTTCGTTTAACCTGAGGGACTAAAGAGAGGAGCCTTAAACTTAACATTAATGCACTTTTATCATCTCCCTGTTTTAAAACCACTACCAACTGCTGCGTGTAGGTGCTGAACGATGTTAGATGGTTCTCTTGAATCAAACACTGTTAGTACATGATGAGAGGAGAACTCGTTTTCAGGATTTACTGGGTTCTTTCAGCTGTCCGTTATATTCAAGGTAAGAGTTAAGAGTGTGTGTTGTCGTTGTTTTACTTGTTTAATGTTTGGAAGTCTACTTTTCATTGTGTTCTTGGAACTTTTTTGTAGTGAGAATCTCTTGATTTCTATTTTTGAACTGGCTTGATTTTCATAACATATGTAATAAAAAATCCCATACAAAATTAATGGCAAATATTATATGGGGTGTCCTTAAAATACAGTCTTACCTGACTGGTTTATATTTAACTCATTTTACTACAACATGTATATTACTATTTATATAATATAACTTTAGATACAGTTTGATTACTACATGTAGCAGAGAAAGCATGTTAATACAGCTAAAACAAAGTTAATTTAACCCAATAGTAGAAAGAAGGACAGGCCAAATTGGCCATTTGTTTACATTGTCTTTTCATTAGGTAGCCAATAAAAGCACTATTATGTTAAGTCTTGGTTCTTTTAGGAAATGTGAATTCATTTAGTGTTGGAAGCCACCTGCTGAATAAGGGTCTCTAGGGAGGTCTGAAAGACAAGTATGACATGGAGTTGGTTTGGAAAACGTATGCAAATGTATGAGTTCCCACAACACACTGTTGTTTTTCAGTATTAGAAGTAAAGTATGCGTATAATCTTTTTTTAGATTTTCTCAATAGTCTGTAAAATGCTTTAACTCACTCTTCAGCTGTTGTCCATTGTTTTTTGTGAAATTCCTCCAACCCATAAAATGGTCAGAAGTGTTATAGACCGTTAGTTTCCGCTTTTTCAGGAAATTGCTGTCCACGAGACAATAGAAACGTTTTTATAGTTGATGAGAGTTTTGCCAAGAATGTGAGTATCTCATTCCGATCAACATTGTTGAGCTGCTCGTGTGGCCTGGGTGATCTGAAAAGAGTTGAACTCTTTGACATAGTCTTATGCAGGCTTGATGTCAAATATCAGCACTACAGGAAGTGGGCAATGTCAGCTGGTGTGATTCCTAAATGATTCTTGTCTTGGATGTATGGTTTAAGGATAAAACCTTTAATTAGTATGGAACCTTTGTATAATGTGGAGGCTCTTCACTTTGACACATCTCATTTCCAAAAATGGTTGGTACAGTCTGTATAGTCCATATATGGAAACTAAGCCTCAAAAACAGCCTCTTTTGAAGTCATTGTTTTTGTGATGTCGCAAAAACCAACACACTGACATTTTCAGTCTAGTCCCATTTTCAGTTACAGGGAAAAGATCTGCCCATTCACACTGATGTTAGAGAGTTTCAGCATGGACTGTTTTTTTGAATGAGATGCAATACAGGGCAGCTGATCAGAAGAGAGCTCATTTACATATATCAGTCTTAAAGGCACAGTAACAAAAGCAGCCTGTTTATGTCTAAGGGATAAAGAGAGGTCAAAGTGATCATATAGAACCACTGTTTTTGGTACATAAATCCACCTAAATGTTACCTCAGGAAAAAAAGAAATACAAAATGTAGGATATGGGTCCATTGAAAGGTTCTTTAGGGAACCAAAAGCTGTTCTTCTATGAAACCGCTTCAACCTTTTTTTAGCATCTTTACTTTAAAGAGTGTATGTGACACTTTTATTAGCAAAACTGTGGCTCTACCAGACAATAGCCCACAGGGACATAGTACAAACCTCAATCAAGTGTTTGCTACTTTGTTTCAAGGACGTCCCTCCCTTGATGATGTGATTGGCGTGTTTTGGCATGAGCGCATAAAGAGGCCATTGTAAGTAGGCCAGTAATAGCAGTGGCTGAGTCAGTGACTGTGTTAGAGTGGACTCTGTGCACAGGTGACGGATGTCCTGTTGGTGCCTGATTGTATTTGTTAGTAAAGGCTCTTTGTTCCTCATGCATGCCGAAAAACACCCCAAGACTCACTCTTTTCCCGCTCCACACAGGAAACTCCAGGTTTCCTCATTTTACTCATCAACAGCAGGCCATGTCAAGTGACAGAATTCTCATACCATCCAAGAATAGGAATTGTTTGTTTAGGTTGGCTGCATTGTTCACATGGTGGTGTCCCCTGAGCTGTGGCCCAGATCACACGCTGATGTTCAAAGGAGGATGTACTGTATATCTTTAGAATCTGTATATAGAATGAGTGTTTTTATTTTTGCTCCACATATAGACCAGTCATTAACACCTTGGTGTGATCTATCCATTGAATTGCTTTTGTTTAAGTCTTAAAAGCACTTCAAGCAGTTTTTGTTAAAATTTTAACCCTTTACTGCACACATTATGAGAGCCGTTTAAAAACATCACTTTCTTGCATTCACTTTTCTTGCATAAAATGCTCCTTGACTGTTGAATTATAGAATTAGAAAATTATATATAATGATAATTAATAATCGGTCATGATTACTAAATATAAAAACATTAAAATGTGTGCAGAGGTCTTTTTTGAGTATGTTGCCTTCAGGCAACATTGTGCAACAATTAGAAGAAATGATACAGAGTTGTGTTCCCTGACGTGGTGAGACCTGGCTTGTGACTGGCTGAATCTACTCCACTGTCACACAATGTTGCTTCTAGGCAACAAACACATTGCAAATTCTCAAAACAAAAAAAATTATCAGATTAACTGAATGTTAAAAAAGAGGTTTAAATGTGACCAGTTAGAGATAGTATGACCAAGTACATGCTTTTTGTTGACTTACTTAAACTCTTCCCTTTAATGTTAACCCTACTATTGTCTTTAAATGTGTAAAATGCTTTAGTAAAGTGAGGACAATGAGTTTGTTGCCCTGAGGCAACACCGTGCAATAGAGGGTTAAAAAGTACTAGGAGTCAAGGAGAAAAAAGGAAAAACACATTCAAATATGGTGAGCGTATACTGCTGCAAATCACTCTGTAGAGCCTGAAATAATCATTTAAATATCAGAGGCGTCAGGTCCGATGTTTTTGAAACAAGGCATACATTTTTACATATTAACATCACACACACAGGCTCAAAAGGATGTTTGGGTCTCAAATGCAAAAATGAACATTATAGTGGCAAATATATTATGACAATAGTACTTAATTTACTCACATCCTCAGAAGACATGTTCCTCACCAAGTTTGGACTCATTGAAAACTCATTCAACGTGATCACAGTCATCAGACTTATCCGCTCGGGGAAGGGGTCCAAGCACAACCATCACTACAAAATGTTCTACAGCATATTGTATGCAGTTACACATTTTCACCAGAGAGGTTTCCAAATCCCTAGATCTTACATAGTGCAGCTTACTTGAACCTTTTTCTATCTAATCTCAGTCACATTTGTAGCATTTACTTCATTACTAGAGGCATAAACACACTCAGCCCATGACTTGATGCAATTCATGATACTGGGTTAACTATTTGGTATTTACATGATATTTCAAACAAACTTTAAATGAATAAAACAGGAGGACTACTTGAGTGAGTTGTTTGTTGGTGGTGATCATTTGCACACAATGATAAAACAATGCAGTTGCATTGGATGGTACGATTAATAGATTGTCTTTTCTCCTTGAGGTACTGTCACATGTCCATGATGCACATTGTCGTGCAATATTGCAATTGCAATGTCATGATGTCATGATACACTGCAACATGCATATTAATTACCATGGACAGTAATTTCCTTGTGCTTAGAAAAGAGAATCACTTATTGACAGAAGCTTTTGCTTAGTGGCTTAGAAGTCTTTTTTCTTTTTCTTTTTTTTTCTTTTTTTTGTAACAGGTTTTAATTGAAGCAGTGAGATTTATTTCAATGCATATTTTAGTTTAATAATGAACTTTGACCTCATCCTTTTTTCACATAAGAGACCAAATATATCAAAATAGATCAAGATATATTTTATTTTGTTATTGTCAATAAAATGATTTGACAAGCTTGCACTATTTGGTGGTCAGTTTCTGTTAGATATAAGTGCCATGGTGCTAACCAGAAGCATGGTCAATTTGATATGTAGGTACAGTCATAAGCAAAGTTCAGGCACCCCTGGTCAAATTACATGTTTTGGTAACTTTAAAAATGTGTGAAATTTGGAAAATTTTGAAAAGTGGAAATTTTGAAAATTGCATCCTCTACAGAAAGCACACTTTGGCACAATTTGATGCACAATTACTGTTTACTTGCTGAATTTAATATATTGGAAAAAAATAAATGTGGCCTGTGCAAAAGTTATGGTACATTTTTTTTTTTCAATATGTTAAATTCAACATATAAACAGAAATTGTGTGCTGAAATCTGTAGATAAATATGATAATATAATATTTAATATGATTTGAGTTTCTTCTCTGTAGAGATGTGTTAACTTAGAAACAAAAAAAAAATAAATAAATAAGAAAAAACTGCATGCTTATGTGAAGGTTTATAAGATTAGAACTGTTAAGACTGAAACCTCACTAAACAGCCACAGAAATCAGCCTCACTCCTCATCAGGCTAGCAAAAATGAAGACTAAAAAGGGGAAATCCACCTATTTTTCAAAATGTTTGCATAATCTCATCATTGTGATATAAATAAAGTCATTTAGAGTGATTTGATATTAAATAGTCATGTTGTAGAGAAAGTTATCGATTTCTTTACAGTGGTGGTGATAGGAACCAGGGGTTGCCATGTATATAACACAAAAATAGCTATTTAATTTACAACAGAGAGCCTACACATCTTCTAATTTTTTATATGTAATACTGATGATGGTAAAATAGTGGTAAATCTGAAAAATATGCATTTTCTTTGTGGTTTATTTTGCCTTACAACACCCTGCTTGTATCCCACCACCATGAACTGAGTAAAATACATGGATTAACAGGACATTTTAGGCCAAAACTTTATCACAAGACTATCATAAAAAAATGTTCCAGGCATCATATTCATAACCATTTTGTGTAATAACGTTCTGTTAGGGAGCTTTTAGAGGCATTAAACTCTTCAGACGTCTGGTTCCTATCACTACCACTGTGAACAATGGTGATTCAATAAGTTTCTCTAGAGCAGAACGTTTCACACCAAAACACGCTGAATTACTTTGTTTACATCTTAACCATTTAAAAATGGGGAACTTTTGAAAAATTGGTAGTGTTCCCCTTTAACCCCTTACCATCCCAAGCTTATTACATACTAAGGCTTATTATTCAGTAACTACAGGGACCTCAATGCAAACTATGCTATATACTAAGCTATTCTTAGGTTATAGAAGTGTATTATTCAGTCTTAGTTAAGGTTTGACTAACTTATCAGTGCTCCACCTACAAGTGCATCCTTTCATATCAACTGTTGCTAGGCTGGACAAGCTTTAAAGGAAGATTGGAAGATTTAAAGGAAGATTGCACAATTGGACTAACATCTTTTCTGTCTTACTGTATTCTTCAGGTTCCAGGCTGCACCCGGATGAAGAGGTCCCCCAGATAGTGCACCACCCTTCAGATGTGGTGGTGCGGGTGGGTAGCCCCGCCACGCTGTCATGCCGGGCAGAGGGCAACCCCGAACCCTCAATCCAGTGGCTCCGCAACGGCGTCCCCCTAGAGCCAGAGAAGATGGAAGGGCAATCACGCCCCATTGTCCTGCCTGAGGGCAGCCTCTTCTTCCTCAGCGTGGTCCCTGGGAGAAAGAGCCAGTCACATGAAGCAGTGTATGCCTGCGTTGCCCGAAACAGTGCTGGTACCGCAACCAGCAGGAATGCCTCTCTGCATATAGCAGGTGGGCTTCAATTCCGCATCAGTTCTTTCTGTTGTAGCAGCATGATCTCAAAGGGTCAGTACGTGGGCACACATTTCAGTTTCTAACTACAAACTTTATATATATCATCGCTGTTCAAAAAAAATGGCAACAAAATTGCAAAGAAGTTTATTTTTTAATTAAATTTATACACAGAGATTTTATTCTTAGCAATTTTGAAGCATTTCTGTTGGTTTATTCATCATGAAGTATGCATGCAATATAAAGGGCAGCCGATGATGTAGAAAAATAAAAATGGAAAAATTAGATATACTTTTTTTGGACTGCCATGATGTACATTTTATAGTAGGTTCTTAATAATTCATAGTAGATAATACTTAGTAAGCCTTAGGAATAATAGCCTGAATCCTCAATCTGCCACATCTGTATGGTTAAATACCACGGTCTTCCTTCTCTTTTAAAGTTTCAATTTTGGAGATTTAGTTTTAGTTTTTTGGTTTTATTCCAATTTGCTATTCATAGATTTAAAATACACCTGAAACCTAAAGCGCCATTCAGGTTGTACTCTCTGTGTGCGATCTCTGAGATCAGTGCTGTTGGTGCTCATCTGCCTAATTGAGACAGAAATCGATGAAGCGCAGCAGTATCACTTACTATTCAAACAGGCATTAAAACAGAAGGTCAGAGGTGGCCGGAGCATGCGGAAGCCTATCAAGATAGTCAGTGAGATTAGCTGGGGTTAGAAGATTTTGGGGTCATAGTTTGCCCTGCTTCCCTGAACAAACAGTGCACTAATTGAGCAGTAACAGCATGCTGTGTTTGCAGCTCAAACACACTCCTGCTCACTGCATTCCACAGCACACACCCGACAGAGACATCAAAGTGATGTCCACTGCCAGCACACGAGGGCAGAAATGGGTAGAAATGGACAGAAAATGCAGCAGACCTTCCTTCACTGAATCGTGTGCTGAATGAATCAAATGCTATGTATTCTGTTACTACGCACAGTGAGAAGGAAACAAATATTAAAAGCTTTTAATTGTTATAGTTTAATATATTCCAGTGCACATATTCTATTCGATCTGTACTTACGAATATGAACAAAGTCTATATATTCATAAGCATGTTTACAGTCAAATATAAAGGAACTGTTAGAATTAGTCAACTTGAAGTGGATATATTCACTGGAAGCATATTAAATAAATAACAAAAGCATCTAAATATTTGTTTCCCCTTATTGTGAATTTTTAAATGTAAGTCATATATTATGATAGTTTTACATTTAGGTACTTACTATTTTATCCTGCTCTGGTAACAAGGCAGAGCATTCATTTAGGACTGTGCTCACTTGTACTCTACACTCTAATAAAAGATGCCAAGAAGGATTCTTTGGGGCAACGCCAAACCACTTTTAGTTCCCTAAAGAACCTTTCAACTGAATGAATTGAAAGATTTTCAACCCTTTATTGAATGCATTATTAACCATGTTTTAAGTTATTAAAAGTATTAAAATATACAAAGAATCAAGTATGTAATTTTATAAATAACCAGAATTCATTTTTTAAACAAAGCTGCTGACACTAGTAAAATGTATACTGTAAAATATTTATGCTACATGACAGAACTGATAATAATATAATGGCCCTCTAGTCATTAATATTTCATACACATCCAATGGTAAACATGAGTTCCCAAATAAACACAAAAAATCCATTTCACTTTTGCACAGTGTTGCTTCTGGGCAACATACATATTTAAAAACGCTCCCAAAAAATGCCACCCACCTAAAAAAAAATTAAAAAGCCCATCAGGAGATAGCATGACTAAATTCAAGCCCTTTATTGATTTATTTAAACTTCTCGATTGATTCTTTGCCTTTGTAAAGTTTGAGGAAAATTTCTTTGTTGCCCTGAGGCAACATTCAGTAAAGGGTTAAAGAACATCTCACTGGAAAACCCTTTAGGGAAACAGAAGTAGTTCTCCTTTGGTATCGCTTCAAAGAACTGTTTTTTTTTTCAGCTTTTTTTTTCTGTATACTTTTAAAAGCCCTTGAAACACTTGTGTTCCTATGGAAGAGATCACTGAAGAGTTTTTGGTTTGCAGCTTTGCGTGATGAGTTTCGTGTGCAGCCCAGTGATGTGGAAGTAGCTGTGGGTGAGGTGGCAGTGATGAACTGCAGCCCACCTGTAGGACATCCTGAACCCAACGTCTTCTGGAAGAAAGATGGCATCCTAATCAACACCACAGACGAGCATTACACTGTGAGACTTTACATCACACTCATTTAGATTTGTGTCTGTTTTTATATCAAGGTTATAAAATACATAAAGATGGCAAATAGTTTTCCAACTAACTTGCAAAGGCTAATTAGCTGCATTTAGTCATCAGAGTGTTGGGTTATGCCCTGCCAGCCTGAAAGATTTATCAGTAGGGGGTGCTATTGCTTAGTCTATCTAGGCTGAACGCAAAGAGGATCCAGCTCACTGGCTTGTGATGAGAACTCAGGGGAGCAAAACTGTTCCTGTGATCATTTCCCACTCTTGTCTTTGTTTAATGATCAGGAGCTCAATGGGAAGTTGATAATAGCTCCAGCTCGGAAGCAGGACTCCGGAGTGTATGTGTGTGTGGCTTCAAACATCATTGGAGTCAGAGAAAGTAATGCAGCCATGCTGTCAGTCATGGGTAAGCCACATTTTCTTATGCTCTCTATTTGCATTTTCACACTGTTCACCCCCCACACATTTATAATACACATGTGGTGTTGGGTGAACCTGCGGGGTGACAGGCTGCTAACTGGCTGCAGCTGCTAAAGGAGAACCCTACGCCGGCCACTTGTGATATTTTAAACATCTGGTATTTTTACATAAATTGTTATGGCTGTATTGATTTAATAAAACAATAATGCAGTGGGTCCACCAGACCACTGATGAACAAACACATCAACACCACACAAGGGTTGAAATGCTTTCTGTCGTAGTATATTGGTATGGATCTATAAATACTGCAATCAATCACACTGTGGTGATCTCTTTTCAGTTAAAAAATGGATATCAAACCAGTGCTGTAGTAAAGCAGTGGCCGCTTGCATAAATCATCTTTAAAAGTATTTATCTTCAGTTGAATTCTTGACATTTAAACTTTGCAACTGTCAAAGTTGCTGGAACTTTAACTTACTGTCCAAAACTCAAAGTACAATTACAGATTTGTTTTACTTTCTACATGAACATTTCAATAAAAAGATTTTATTCAGCAGATGTTTTATGCAAGTGACCACAGACCCTTAAAGTGATCATACGTGACACCTCTCCTTCTTAGAGAAGCCGGTGATGCTGTTTGAGCCGCAGGATGTTTCTGTGCGGCTGGGCGAGTCAGCTCGGTTTTACTGCGAGGCTCAGGGAGACCCTACGCCTGAGGTGAAGTGGAGCAGAGAGCAGGGGGCACTACCCAACGGCAGGTCAGAGACACAGACCGACACGTTCTACCACTCAGTCTAGCACATTTTGGTATTCTTTATGGCAAAATGTAACTCCTATTTTTATGCTTGTTAGGCCTTAAAATGATAAAACTACTTGATGGTAAAACTGTTTGTAAGTGTTCTTTTTACCCTGTGTAATGGTATTAGGTATTTGGTTAACCCAGACCAGAGTCTTCAGATCCACTATGTGACGTTGCAGGACGCGGGCAGGTACACCTGTACTGCGGTCAATGATGTAGGAGTGGCTACAGCCAGCGCTCAGCTGTTTGTTGAAGGTAAAAGAAGAATGCAATTACAATCAGTATCCCAGCATCATAAAACATACTGGACAGCTACTTTTGGCTAATGTGGTTCATTTTTTATTCTTTAACTCCATTTAAACATAAATGCGGCCATTTACATTATATGAAGATTTCATAGTGAAATGGATCGATATGCAAATTTGAAAAGCTACTATTGGCTAAGCTTGAGTACTGTGTGTTCCAGATGCAGGCAGCAGCAGCCAGAGGGAGCTGCATAAAGAGCTTTCTGCTCTGCGGGTCAGTCTGGAGAACGTCACAGTTCTGAGAACTCCATCTAACGTTTCACAGGTCATGTGGAAGGTAATTTGCAGATTATGTTCCTGATTACACAGCAAGTGTCAAGCATAGAGATTACTGAGTAAAGCATAACTATCTTCGGACTGCACAGCAGAGACCATAAGGTTTTAAAACACCAAAGATGGAAAGGTGCAGCAATCCCCCACTTCACACAGGCAAATCAGCCTGATGGTGGTGCTATAGGGTAGTTTTGCCCCATATGTCTGGAACTGAGAGTTGTACAGTCATTTTCTTCAGATTCTCAGGCTCGGCCCAAACAAAAATACCTCACTGATTAACATGTTGACATTTGTAAAAAATATGTGCACCAGAAACTAATCAGTCTTTCAGGAGCAAAGCCTAGTTAACTAAAAACAGCTGAAACATAAAACTTTGACCAAAAACCTTGAACAATTACATTGGATATCATTATTGTTTGTAGACACCTGATCTCCCAGAATTTCTCCTGAAACTGGAAGGTTTCACTGGGAGTATTTCTCCTTTTGCTGCAGCAACAGCTTCTACTCTTCTAAAAAGTTTTTATTCTAGATGTTGGAACATTGTGGTTAGGGTTGTATTCAGCCACGAGAGCATTAATGAGGTCAGGTACTGATGTTGGATGATTAGTTCTGGATCACAAACACCACGCTGACTCAACTCAAAAGCATTAAATTGTGCTGCGTCACTCTAGAGAACACAGTTCCACTGCTCCACAGCCCAATGCTGAGGGGCTTTTTATGCCTCTAGCCAATGCCTGGCATTTGGCATGGTGACCTAAGGGTCCTGCAGCTTCTCCGGAGTATTGTGTTCTATTGGCAATTGAAAAAAATGAGATTTCATCTGGCTTTGCACAAACTTAACAGTGAACTATAAAGTATTTTCAACTATAAAGAAGATTATATTTGTTTCTTCTTCTTCTTCTTCTTCTTCTTCTTCTTCTTCTTCTTCTTCTTCTTTAAACTGTACACTATGCAATTCAACCTCAAATGACTTGGCTCTGTGAGCCCAGCAAGTTCTTTTTTTTGTGATTCCATCACGTTCCACTTCTTTTCCATTAATGGACACTATGTTGAATTATATTATTTGTTCTTCTTTCTCCTTTTTCACCAGCTTCAGTCATCACCCTCTCCAACGCATTACCTGGAGGGCTTTGAGGTGCTGTACCGCTCCTTGCTGCCCGCCAGTTCAGACTGGGCTGCTCAGAGAGTGCCCCAGCCTGCACTCCAGACACATGTGGGACCTCTAAAGAGGGGCTACAAGTACGAGTTTAAAGTCCGCCCGTACGGGAGTGATCTATATGGCAGAGAGAGCAACACCAGACACCTGAGAGTGCCAGAGACAGGTGAGTTCTCACAACTGACTCACCAGTGGTGACTAAAGTCACATAACATACTACTGGTATCTTACTGGTAGCTTATAGTGTGCCGCTATGTCATTCAGCATCAGAAGCTACATAATGTCAATGTGCAAAGAAAAACATGTATCTCCAAAATAGTAACTTTATTTGTATTGGTCTGTTTAACAATAAAAAAATGGATATACTTTTTTTTTTGAGATTACTTAACTTGACTACAAGCTTTCATTACTTTTTTAGCTACATTAGCCTCAGTTAAAAGCTAAAGAAGTACACAACACAATAAATTAGATGTTTGGTCAAACGGTCGCTTAAAAAAAACATTAGTGAAAGATATTACATTAGGTTATATGCATAGAATCATCTGCTTAGTTAGCCTTTCGTGACCACACTGAATGACGTTTTGTGAAAGTGATTATACTTGATGTGAAAATGACTTGTCATGGAGTGATAGTTACACTCAATGCCCACAGTTCCCAGTGCTCCTCCTCAGGAAGTGTCCATAATGGTGCCCACGGACCGTAACGACACAGCCCATCTGAGCTGGCTGCCCCCGCCTCATGACGCTCACAATGGGATCATTCAGGGATACCAGGTAACACGCACACAGACTAAAGCCTACACCTGTCAGTACACAGAGAGCTAACTTTTGTTCTGAACGAGTTGTATATGCCCCATTATCATACTGCCCATTCTGTAATGGGGGATGGCCAGTCAGAGGTGGACAGGTGAGTCAGTTGAAATGAGTGCTGTTGTCTGATTAGATTCTGTCACAAATCCAGCCTGAAATATCAGCAAAATAAAGTAGGTCACATGGCAACATCAGTCACAATTAGCCTAGCTTTGGCATACAATCAAGAACAGGCAGCTTAGAAATATTATAGAACCATGTGCAGAATTCTAAGAAAGTCCTGCCTCTGTTGAACTTTCAGCTCAGGTTACCTGGTAAAGTTGTTACCTGGTAAAGCTAAAACACTGATCTAGATGCACACATGCACTTAAAATTATGATTCAGCACGGGTTTGGTTCTATTCAGAACCGTGAGTTCTATATAGAATGCCTAAGTGGTTTCATGCCTAAATGGTTGTTTGCGTGGTGAAATGGTTCTTCATTGATGAAGAACATGAAGTAGATGGTTCTCTAAGAAACATTTTTGAAAGAACAATTAAATAAACTGTGCAAAGCATGACAGGTATATGAGTGCATTAATATTGGTCTTTGCACATTATGTTTCAATCACAGATGTAAGAACTGTACAGTCCTGATCATTCTGACTAATTTGTCAAGCTAACCATCAAGAATCTAAGTTAAGCTAACTAACTGACCTTAACATTGCTCTGTAACGTTATTCATCATTAGACCTGATATTAAAATTATTTTTAGCAATGCAAATCAAGTTTAGCTGTCTGCCTAATAGTTTTGACACTGAGCTGTGGGTGTCCAAAACTTTATCAGCTTCAGGAAGGAGATAAAAATCACATCATCTTTCAGATGATCAGGACAGCTTCAGTCAGATGTTTTATGTTTCTCTGTACCTTTCTTTGTAATAATTCTGACTAAATTACTCACTGTTGTTCTCACTGCAGGTTTGTTTTGGGGATTTCTGTTTAAGTTTTTTTCCTTGCTTGATGAAGGAAAGGAACGTTTAGAGACAATTCTGATTGGCTGAGTGGCATCAATCACAATGTGTTTATGATCTACTTTTGCACACATTTGCACTGTACTTGATATATATATATATATATATATATATATATATATATATATATATATATATATATATATTGGCAGGTGGGATGGGAACAGAGAATAAGAATCTATGGTCATGTTGTCTTCAGAACTAGCTCATTTAAAGCTTAGCAGGTTTAGAATTTAAAAAAGCTAATACACCAGTACAGCCAGTACTCATAGTTTCAGTATCAGTAATGAAAAATCATGCCAACCCTATTTGCAAGTAATTAAACTCTTTACATTTTATATAAAATTCCTCACCGGGTTTTCGGGGGTTACTCAACAAAGAACTACCTGTTTCCAAATCTGTCTCAAGGTGTTCTCAGTCTCATGTGGGGTGTGTGTTGCCTCTCTCAGGTGTGGTGTGTACAGGAAGAGGATCAGCAGTATCTGAACTGGACAGTTGACAGTGGCACACACAGTCTGGAGATCAGCCCACTGCAGCCTGACAAGCATTATTGGCTCCGAGTGGCAGCGGTCAATGGGGCCGGTATTGGAGCGCAGAGCAATCCATACAAACTGCTCATAGGTACACAGATTATTCAAACATCTATTTATTCAAGTCTATTTAAAAAAAAATCATACACTCTCCAAACCTTAACCCTGCATATTTACTTATATGGGATTACATAAGGCTGTAATGGTTCCAGCACAGTATTGAAAAGTCAATAACATCTTTTGTGGAAAGCATCTGTCAGAGTAAAGCGGGCAGGGATGAGACAGGCTTTGTGCTACACATGCAGCCATGCTTTTATTCTGAAGTCACTTATAAATTCCATGCTAGGTGTGGACAGTATTACGGTTTTAATTGTTATTACCATTAATCTGTATTATATTGCACTGCACTACAATATGCTTTTCTGATCATATCGTGGATGTCATCAGTACATTAAAGAACCCTGAACAACTCTGTGTTTCATTAGAAAGACAGCATAATAAGTCCTGTTAAATTGGATGTAGTGCTGTGCAGTATGTGAAACATTGAATAAAATCAATGTTTTCTTTTTTTTTTTTGGCACTGCTGGTACTTTTTTGTCATAACTACACCAATCAGGCATAACATTCTTGTTTCTACACTCATTGTCCATTTTATCAACTCCATTTACTATATAGGTGCACTTTCTAGTTCTACAGTCCCACAGGACGCTGTTGGCTGGGTATTTTCGGTTGGTGGACTATTCTCAGTCCAGCAGTGACACTGAGGTGTTTAAAAACTCCAGCAGCACTGCTGTGTCCGATCCACTCACACCAGCGCAACACACACTAACACACCACCACCACATCAGTGTTACTGCAGTGCTGAGAATGATCCACCACCCAAATAGTACCTGCTCTGTGAGGGTCCATGGGGGTCCTGACCACTGAAGAACAGGGTAAAAGGGGGCTAACAAAGTATGCAGAGAAACAGATGGACTACAGTCTGTAATAGTAGAACTACAAAGTGCACCTATATAGTAAGTGGAGCTGATAAAATGGACAATGAGCGTAGAAACAAGAAGGTGGTCAGAATGTTATGCCTGATCAGTGTAAATCCCAATTTATCAAACCTAAGAAAAATTAAATATCATAATTCTTATCATGTGTCATGAAAAAGTATTGTTATGTATTTTTTTATCATTTTTATCACATCACACAAATGCCCAATCTCCTATAACATAATAAATTACATTTACATTTTATTAACTTTCTGTATCTGAACATTTGAATCTGCACTTTTGATATTTTATGTAAACAAAAAGACGAAGTATAGCAGAAATGTAAAAGATAACTCTCTCTACCTCTCTTTCTATCAGAGTCGAGGCAGCCATCAACGTCATATCACAAAGATGCACTGAATCTGTCTGATGTGTTGGCAATAATGAGGGAGCCCATATTTATTGGCAGTGTTGGCGCCCTCTTGTGGTGTGCACTAATGGCTACAGCTGTTTGTCTGTATAGAAAACACATCAGACCTGCCAATCTGGGAGGAGGACATCACAACAGAGCAGGTTAGCATCAGCTTCTGGACATTTTGTTTGTCACTGCATTTTATTCATATTATGAGATCAAGGTTGTCAGTGCTGTGTTTCTTGGTTTAGGTTTATACCGACTGGCTAGTGAGGATTTGATAATCAAGCACAGGTATGAAGAGCTACTGATTATGTTCATGTTTAAAACTTGGCTAAAATAGTCCCGTAATTACATGTTAATTTAATTGTATGAAAATTAATATTAGATTAACGGGTTATTGTAAATCTTTACAATGCAAGGGTGTAGTTGCATAGCAGTTACTGAATACGTTATCATAGTTATTTAACATAATATAATACAAGTCTTAAGATTAATCGCTGAATAATTATCCTGCAGGACAGTTAAGAATTTAGTCAGTGCTAAATAGTGTGTTAATCTGTCGGTTAGGATGGCAGCTCCAGATTCTCCGTGGATCTCTGGAGGCTGGAAGCCGGACACCAGCAGTGATCAGTACCAGAGCCTGTGGGCTCAGAGCAACCAGGAGAATCAAGGCTTGAAGAGAACCAGTGAGTCTGAATTTGCTATCACTGCAGCACCGACCCACAGCATCAGCATTACTAGTGCTGTTCTCATCTTCATTCTCTTATTTATCCTGATGGAGGAGCAGAACTATAGCTAATTATCCTTAAGCCTTAGGTAGTATTGAAGCGGCAAAGAATTAATTGTGCCTAACTGCTAAGGGCCACTGCACTGCAAGTGCCATGGCAGTTACTGCTTCTGGTGTGAAATGCTCTGTGTTTTCATGCAAAAAAGAAATGGAAAATAGAAATTAAGGAGGCCTTGCACCTGACTGGTCTCTAGAAAAAGTCACAAGTCCTTTGTAGACAGAGACCCAGTCAAAATAATGTTGAGATCAAGACAAGACTGAGATCCTGAGACTTGAGTACTGCACCACTATCCTTAGATATCAAGGTGTTATTGTTATTTTGCTATACATTCGATTTACATGAATGGTCCAGCTTCCCCCACAACAAAGCAACCTGTCTGTGGTGTTCAACCTAATGTTGAAGTTACCCAGCATGGAAGTAATGGGTTCACTGCCCTGCCCAAGCGCCAGCTCTGTAGCTGGAGGTGAGCAGGTTCGAAAGGGAAGATAAATAACGACACAATAGTAGGATGTAACAATTCCCTGTTTGTTTGGTGGGGCATTTGGGTGCTCCTCTGCCCCACCACATGTACACCTTCTTGGCCTCTATCCTGCCTCCACTCTGGGTTCAAATCAGAAGCCGTCTTCTTAAAGACACGCCTCTTCATCTGAATGCCCCTAACCCAGACCTAACTATTTTTATGTGAGATTACATAATTACCTAATTAAAAATGGTTACATAAATACATTATTTGATAATCATTCTGTTGCAAGTATTTTTCAATTTCCCCAAAGAAGTAAAATATGTCTTTTTCTTTCCTCAAACCAAGGCTGTACACATAACATTTACTGTCCATCAATTTCAAATTATAATACACATCTCGACTGTATCTGTAGAATCGGCTGTAAGCTGAATCTGCACTTTGGTCCGATTTATTTGTAGCTGTTTTCAAAGCTTTGGGTTAGAAATAATTAACCTTTTCATGCATGAATAATGACAGTCCTTGAAGGCTGATGACAACGATTGAACTATTTCTTTCAGGCGTCCATCCAGCTGAACAGCAGCATTTGAACATTCAAATACAAGCAATACTGAACATTTCAAGGACGTACTTTTCACAGATTTCTTTCAATGATGTGTGAGTGAAAAATGATTAAGCAGGGTGTTGGAGTGTAAAAAGAACAGTTTTAAGCTTTTTCACACCGTGGAGGACCTAGGCGGGTTAACTGACCAAACCATTCTATTTAGTTTGATGAAAAAGTAATAAAAATTGATCATTTAATTATAGTGGTGCCGCATGTCTCCTAATCACAAATTAAGGCTTTTCTTTCTTTTTTTCTATGTGCTGGAAAAATTAGTTTTACATTCTCAGTCTTCTTGTAGCTTGTAAAGTCATGTGTAGAGTCATGTGACTAGCAAACCAACAAGCAAACCCCTTAAAAGTTGCTGAGTGAACTTTTATCTTCACCTTGAATTCTTCATTCTCTCAGGCTATGTCTGTCCTCAGAATAGCACTCAGCTTCCAAAAGCTTGATTCATCCCTGCAGTCCTCATCACTCCTAATTAGCATCAGTGTTGAGGGATGTTATGTAAATGTGTCCTCTGTCTTCCCCTGTGCTGACAGCTCTACCCATAACAGCCAAAAATGACTCAAGCCCTCTGGAGGCAGCTGTCCCTATAGTACCCGACAACTGTGGCGTCTACGGCACCTTCTACGTGGATCTGACCAGTAACAATCTGAAAACGTTTAACAGTCCAGCCCAGCGGCCCAAAATGCCCCACAGCAACACAGAGCAGCATCAGAACACAGAGACCATACGCATCAGTCAGCCTGTCGCCAAGGCACCTGTAGCCAGGGAGGGGCAAGTGATGCCATGGAAACGGGCCCTCCCTGCCCAGCCCAATATGGGCATTCGAAAAGAATCCTGGGAGAAAAACTGCAAACGAGGTGAGAGAGTTAAACATCAGCTTTTTTGGTTTGTTTATTCCTAGCTCCGCCCCATCCGTAATACTCATTAACATTACCCTGACTCCACCCCTCCCCACCTGTCTTGTTTAGTTGGATTTGTGTAATAGTTCTTGTTTAGCAATTTGCGTTTATTCGTTTGGAGTATAGTTATGTTAGTATGGATGTATATGTATACTTTTTGCATATGCTTGTCATAAATTAGTTGGAATTTCAGAGAGAAGCCATTAATAATCTATTAAACTAATAGAATATATAGTTGCTTTCTTTTTCTTTCTTTCTTTCTTTCTTTCTTTCTTTCTTTCTTTCTTTCTTTCTAGAACATAAGTGAGCTAATTTTTTTTAATGAATGTAAGAAAAAAGAAAGAAAGAAAGAAAGAAAGAAAGAAAGAAATTACTGTTCTGTGTATTTGATGGTCTAAATGCTCTGACTGTGTCTCTCTCCAGAGCTACATGCAGTGAACAGTGCTCCATTAGTGCATCAGCAGGCCCTGATGGTGCGCAATGCCCCTTTTAGTCATAAACACAGACTCAGCCAGCATCCAGGTACATCCCAGGCACATATCTGTATATCACTGCTGTCAGAATAAAACCTTGTATTTCCGAAATGGTAACTTTACAGGAGAAGGAAAAATACACTTTATTTTTCCTGTAAGTCAATGGATCCAGGTGTTTTTCAAGTATTTTGGGCTGTTTGTTTTGGCCCATTCATCATTACATTTACACACAATGTAAAAGGCAACATGTGTTTTTCAAATTCTGCCAAAATCTAAAAAACAACAAAAATGGACATACAAGGTTTTGTTCTGACAGCAGTGATAAGCACCTGTTGGGTGTGATGCAATCCTAATTGTGTGCATTGTATGCGTGGAAGCATTAGTAATATTGTTACTGTTGGATAAAAAGCACCTCATGAACCCGGCTTGTTCCTCACTCACTCACTCCCTCACCCATGCACTCACTCACGTTTAGCAGGCTGAACATTCTCCACAAGGGGGTGCTGTTAACACATATGGAAGGAAAAATATGTCTGATTTGTTTGAACAAAAGCTCTCCAAATAGTTACTTTACAGGAGAAGGAAAAAAATGTTCTTAACTTGTAATAGAAGTTAATGTAATGGATTTTTTACAATGTAATTTTGGACCCTTTCTATTCATCATGAAATTTTGGAAAAAAATACAGTTTTTTTCTGACAGCATCGATATATACAAATATTTGCTCATATTAAAACATAGTGTGATATATGTATGCACAGGTGATAGATATATTTAATCATGCCATTTTTAAATAGATAAATTTATCCACATGTATGTCAATAAATTGGAACATATAAATATATAGAGAGAAAATGTATTTAATAATGTCAAATTTAACATGTAAATATATGGCAAATATATGTGGAAATACATTACAAATTTGACACATTGAATATGGGTCAATGACACTTTATGTCTTTATATTTACAAATGCCATCAAAATGATGTTAAAGATCAAATCAAACAATTTCCCCTTAATTCAAATGCAGTTTATCAGCCAAGAGGCATCTGTTGTCTGAACTTTCCTTATTTAGTTTTGTACTGCAGCTACGAGGCTAATATAGCTAAAAGTAATGCAAGTTTATGATCACCAGTTAGCATAACTGAAAATCTAGATCTTCAAACTGTTAAAGACCTGCTTATTTGGTTTCTTACACTGTGTATCATATTTATACTGTTATATAAATGGACAAAACTATGTCATATTGCTAAAATCAGTACTTGCAACCATCTTGAAGCCTATATTTTGTCTGTAGGCCTACAATTGACACAGTGTATCATAAAGCACATAGTCTTTTTGAGATTATTTAACAAATCAATGCAAATTGTGGCAAGTGTGTCATGGTTTAGGGATGCGGTTTGCATGCTGTTGATTGGTGGATTATAACCTTGTTAGCTACCTCCAGAGCAAAACTAAAGAAGCCAGGTTTTAGATACCAAATATATCATGGTTTATTGAGTGTATTTGATACAAGATTTGGAAAACTTGACTTTTTCACCAAAATATCACTTTAATAATCTGTATCTATCTGAGCATGGACTAAATATATTTATCAAACTGTACATTTTATCATACACAAAGAATGAGGTATAAAACATCCCTCTGTACTGTTCTACTGTAGGTGGTACCTCAGAGAATGTGAAGCCATTCGGTTCTCCCAGGATTCTGCACTATTCAGCCTCGCTGCACTTGGTGGATATGCTGCCCAGCCCTCCTCCGCTGCCCATGGAGGACAGCCAGAGTGTCAGCTCAGAGGAAGGGTGAGCAAAAGATCACCGTATCTCCCTTTACCACATGGGCGTTACTTTAAAGCTGGACAGCCTGACTGAAGCCATGTTGTAACAGTTTCACTGTCTCTTATTATTCTCCTTCTCTGTGGGATTAGACTACACACCTCAGCTCTCAGTCACAGGTCAGATCAGTAGGGGTTTATTATAACTGTCATACCCCACAGCTGCCCGTACACCATAATAGAGCTGTACTCTATAGCCAGGCCCTGTCATCAGGCAGAAATGGGAGAGCAAGTTACAGTCCCTGGAAGCCTATTCAGCTTGAAGCCTGCTTTAATGGAGAGAGTGCAAAAGGGACTCCCTCATTAGAGAGTCTGGAAGTGTGTGAGTTTAAAATGTGGCCTTGTGGCCATAAACCGCAGTCATTAGGGGACTAGATGCAGGGGAAATGGGACAGATAACGCACCTTCATACACTACAGAGATAGATAGAAACCCATCTGTTTCTGAATGTCCAAGAGCAGCATGGAGCCTTAAGTGATTCACTAGCAACTATAAAACAAACGTGCTGCACAGCAAGGGCCACTCTGGGCCGTATATACTGGGTAAATTGCCACACTGTAGGGCTGGATGATTCTTGAAGAAATCAAGATGATTCTCAAGAGTTTGGCTTAGAATTAGGATTACAGTTCTCACTTGTGATTCTTTGACACATTAATTTATATAGAATGAAATGCAACCTATATTTATTAAGTTCCTTACATTGTATAACTTTCAATGTTTGCATAATAACAGCCCAGATATCAAAGCTATTACAATATTTAAAAGTGGTTATAAAGTTACTACAAAAATATTTAAGCAAAAGAACATGAGAGGGAGTGTGTTATCGTGAAATGACATCATGGCTGTTGTTCTTTATATTGTGTGTAAATTAAAGAATGGACCAAAAGAAACAATCCAAAATGACTTGGGAAAAAAGCCTGGTTCCATTGACTTACATTAAAAGTAAGGTACGTTTTTTCCTTCTCCTGTAAAGTTACCATTTTGGAAATACGAGGTTTTCTTCCGAAAACAGTGATATACATACTGTAAATAGATTTTTACAAAAACAACCAAAATTTAAAACTAACATCTAATCAAAATTATTCCAAAAAATATGTAATATGCATATGCAATATGTAATATGTAAATAGGCAAAATAATTGGAAACTTATTCAACTCCCACATTAGAGGATTAACTTTAATATCATTAACTTTTTAAATAAAGGAGTTTGCTGTCTTATGCAGATATTAAAAACATACCATTCACTCACACATACATTCAGCCAATTTATTGGCCTGTTTTGAAGTAATCTGTGGTTGTGATGTCACAACCATGAATACATTTGCATATTATCTCTGTTCAAAGAAAAACAAAAATATTCTTCAAAAATATTAATATTACAGGAGAGAGCAAAAGTGTGTAATGTAATGTAATAAGGTTTTTTCCAAGTGATTTTGGAGCATTTCTATTCACCACAAAACTTTCACACGATGTAAAGGACAGCTGCTGTGGTCAAATGATGCAAAAGACCAAATTTGTGATACATGGTTTGTTTTTGTCAATTTGCAACAAATGACACCGTATTGAGTCTGTGAGGTTGATAAGGTGTGTTGTTCCTGCAGGAAGCCTGTAGCAGAATTATTGTGGAAAATAAGGAGCTAATTATAAAATCTTATGCTGTTGCTGACTGTCAGAAAAAGAATTACATCCTGCCAAACAATCAGAAAGTAGATTTGAAGTTTACTTTTTTTGTGTTCCTGAATGAACAGAGCTCCTATATTGCATGTCTTAGTCTCCAAGGCACAAAGCCTGTTTAATTGTAATGATAAAGAGAGGTTGGAAACAGTCATGTATGAAATGAATTACAGTGTTTAGTTAGATTTCAGGTGAAAAAAATACAACAAAAGTTTTCAAACGTCAGTCCTGAATTAAATCTCTTTTTTCAGGTCCAGCCGATCCACTAAGCTGACGGTGGACGCAGGTTCTCTGCAGTCTGTGTGTGCTGCGTCCACTCTGCAGGGGCCTGCTACCGTTGCAACCGGCTGCCCCTCTCAGAGAAGCGCTTCTTACAGCCACCTCTCCACCGCCTCCTTCTGCCTGTCCACTGATGACTGCCATGACTCCACGCTCAGCACTCAGGCCCACGAGTACCTGGAGCTCAGCCCTAAACCACACAGGCGCAGGTGAGACACCCACACATACACACAGAGAGAGCAGGAGCCACTTTAGACAGACATTTACACATTTACAAAGTTTTTGTATCACAAGCATTCAAGATGAGATGCAGTTTCTTTAACAAATACTGTAGGCCAGGTGTACTGAGCCTTTTATTCCTGGTTTCAGGACCAAGTAGGATGCATTCTGCCCCAAGAAGAATGTGTGTTGTGTACATAACTGGCGTACAAAGCCAAAGTGTACAGCGTTTGCTCTTTGTACGTGAAAAATTCTGAAATGCATCTCTTTCTCATTCATAAGCATAAGAAATGAGTGAATTTTGAAAGAGTACTTACCAATTAAATAAAAATACTTCACTCTCAGAACTCCTTTATAGTTTGCTGAGTGACTCATACGGCATTGTGACTTTAATTAAAATTTAAATGTAAAGTTATTTGTATAGCACTTTTTACAACAGGAGTTAAAAAAGCAATTTAACAGAAATCCAGGTCCAAGCCCCAAATGAGCAAGCCATGGGTGATGGTGGCAAGAAAAACTCCCTAAGAATAAGAGAAAGAGATCTTGGGGTGAACCAGAACTCAAAAGGGGAACCCTTTGGTCAAGGCTGGATAGCAACACACAATAAGAGCAATATAAATACATAATAAAGAATTGACCATGAGTGTACAATAGTCAATACGTATTAAAAAAAAGAAACGAGCCTGTCATTGGACAGAAGGTTTTAGGACAACCAGTGACAACTGTTCACAGAAGTATTTAAGTGAACCAGTGACTAATATTAGTAGCATTTCAGAGTGACCACAAGTATTAAGTCTAGCAAAAACAGTGACTACTGTTAGAAGCCTTTCATGATGACATTAGTATGAATATGCAGAGAAATCTATGTGTTGCTGTTTCCCAAATCCTACTTTTTTAAAAAAGTAAAAATATATATAATAACTTCTTTTCATCTCTGCGGTTTCAAGCTTGTTGACGGCTCCTATGTCACTGCATGTTTTTTAAAGGGCCCATGTCATGGAAATCTGACTTTCACTCACTTTTTAAATGTAGTCATAACTTTGCTAAAGTTTAAAAAAAAACATACATTCTCTCCCCTGTTCATACAGTCTATATGCATTTCCATGAATTCGTCTATGCAGCCTACAGCAGTTTAGCTCTGCCCGTTTACTCTGAAGTTACGAGGAGTGTTTCAGTCCAGATTGCTTTTTGAAGGAGTAACAATATAGAACAGCCAATTAGAGCTCATTTACATACATCAGTCTATAGTCTATCAGTTGGTAAGACAAATGTAGGACATGGGCCCTTTAAACCCTGTGCCTTATAAGTATAGTGCAATTAGTATGGTGATGCTATAAGCAGTTAGCATGATAAAGGTAAAGGTAAAGGCTTAGTGAGAGTGTTACCTTACAATGCATTGTGGGAGCATAATGTGTTTACTCTCCTACATACATCTGGCCCTAATTGTGCAAGACAAGAGGATACCCTTAGGATAGGGTTGTAGCTGCCAGCTACAACCAGGATTGAGTGAGCTCAAAAGTGTAGTGCTGCTGGGTTTATTGAGTTTAGAAATATATAATTCGTTTTTGTGGATTAGTCCACCACTTGAAAGATTTTCAGCCAATAACTGGTGGTGAAAAACCATGTTTTGATGCAAGAGCTGAAAGAAGGCTGACATAAACACTACAGCTCAGCACTTCGTCTATTTTTAGTCAACTTACTGTTCAAGGCCTGCTAAATTCAATATTAGAAATCTGGCTCTAGTGTTCTGTACACAGTGTTAATCAATTACCATCACAGATTTCATCCCATATTCACCATATGATGATATGTTTCTCCCTCATCAGCTCCCTGTCTGAGAAGCCCCCCTCTTTGCCCCGTCCATTCTCCCCCACACCCACGTTTGGCTACATCTGCGGACCCTCTGAGCGGGAGATGGTGGATGTGGATGATGAGTCTCCGTCAGTGGGACTCAGGAGCGCAGCCCTGAGGAGCACGCCCTCCTCCTGCTACAGCGAATGGGAGGGCTCTCTGTGGAACGGGTGGGGCTCCGTCTCTGAGGGAAACATGCAGAGTGCACGGACCAGCATCATCAGCTCTTCAGACGGCTCGTTCATGAACGATGCGAACTTCGCTAGAGTCCTGGCCATGACAGCAGAGTCTATGAATGGAACTTTATCAGGCAAGACAGAAACTATAACCCAGTCTTTACTCTGTATCTGTATGTCGCCGGTGTCAGAAGAAAACCTCGTAACTCTACAGGAGAAGGACTTTACAGGAGAAGGAAAAACCTACTTTACAGGCTTTTTAAAATGATTATAGTTTTTAAAATTATGTCAAAAACTGAAAAACGACATACAAGGTTTTGTTCCGACAGCAGCGATGTGCATCAAAACAGCTTATAATTATTTTTGCCTAGTTATCTTCCCGAAGTTAGTGGCAAGTTGATGGGTATTTCAAGAGTTTTGCATTGCACCAAAGTCTCACTGCTGAACATTTCCTTCCTCACATGTTCTTCTTTATTGGTTTACTACATGTTCTCTTACAATTAACAGCTAGAACTTTGTCTCTCAAGGGTTTGCACTACTCTTTCTGTTTATTTGCATGAGTGTTGAAGGAAACTTTTTTGTCACTGTGAGCTCCACCAACTATCTAGGTCTCCCTTAAATGCTACTGTACCATCTAAAATAGGTCTGTTATGGCACTAATCATCTTCATGATTAGTATGATAACTAATCATAACTCCACATAACTCCATAAGCATCACATAGCAATCACATAACAATGACATAAAAGTGCATTTCATCATGATGTAATATATTATATTATTAGTAGCAGCAACTTATACTCAAGTAAAACTGTTGATACTTCAATCAAATAATGGAGTAATCATCTCTGTTGGGATTGTCTTGGTCTAAAATAAAATAATGAAGCTCAACAGTCAGAGATGAGACCAAACACTAAACAGTAAAGATGCTGTTACCACTGCAACATAATGAAAATAACCGGAAAATAGGAATTAATGATTAAATGTTAATGAGTAAAATGTAATTGCATAAAATGTGGATTACAAAAAAATGTGTGATAACAAATATGCTTAAGTAGAAGTATTACTCATGTACTCATAAAAGTAAAAGCCCATCAAAATTTGACTTGGGTACATGTATGTGAATAAGTTACTGACCTCCTCTGGTTATTAAAGAGTTAAACATGGCATGTAACTTTTGTGCCCACTAGATGGAGTAGTTTCATCAGTTTTTTATGTAGAGGTGAATTAGTCACTTCAAGTGGTTTCTGTGGCACTAAAGTCTTAGTGCAACATAAATTTCATTCCTCTTTTTTGCACAGTTTACTGCTGAGTCTGTGGTGATTTCCACTGATTCTCGCTTTTAACTGTTTCTTCTTGAAGCCACAGTAAAAACTGTATAGCTACAGAAAATATAGTCCACTCGCTGATTCATAAAGAAGAAGCACAGAAAGCAGCAGTGTTTTAGAATAAAGATTAGAGATAATTGGCTAATCATATAGGCAGTGTCTAGACTCTATAGCTGACGGACTTGTAGAGATGAGGGGTTATGGGAACAATAGACGCTCTCAGGAAATTGAACTGGCTCCTATAGTGGCCTGTTTATTGCGTCATCAAATCAATCACCCTTCTCAACAGGAGCTCACGCTAACTTCCTCTCTCCCCATTTACCAAATTGTTTTTCTTTATCCTTTTTCTCTTGATGAGTGCCGGCAACAAAATTAAATGGCTTTGGCCACCGTGCTTTAGAGGAACGAGATATTGACGAGTCACACAATTTATTCAGATATTTAGGACTATATCATTTTGCAAATGCAGAGTAATTACTGGGCAGTGTGGTGGTGGGTTTGATTTCTTGGTGTTATTTCTTTTCAGGGCTGTTTTTAAGCTGTAGGTTGATGTTTCAAGGTTCTAAGCTGTAAGTTAAGTTTTCAAGGTTGATTTTTAAGCTGTGTGTGTTTGTGTGTGACAGTAGATTTCTCCCCGCCGGGCTCTCCTCTGAGCATGCTGTTCCCCCCGCGGGATTGTTTTGGGGAGGTGGACCCCCTGCCCGTGTGGGACTGGAGCACAACCTGGGTGGAGGAGATGGAGGCCCAGTTCAGAGCATCCAGAGGAGCCGCTGGATCATCCAGACAGGAGCACTGGGGAGATTTCTCACACAGCAAGCTGGGCCTCCACAAGACTAACTCACAGCGATGATCACATTCCTCACAAAAATGTGTCTGAGTCAGACACTGGACTACATTTCTCACAGTTCCCTCAGCCTCAGAACACTGTTAATATTGGGACTACGTTTCCCAAAGTCCCTTAGGGCAGCTTCTGTTTCTGACCTGATGGTGCATTCGGATGGTCCTCAACAAGCTGGTAAATTGTCACATCACCAAATCATAACTACCAGTTCGTTCTGGTGGTCATCAGCAGCTGGTAAATTTATCACACACACAAACAGTGCTGTCAGACGATAAAATACTTAATTGCAGTGAACCTAATTAGTTTGTGTAGTTAATGTTAATTCATGATTTGTCTTATTTTCTCAAGTTTGGCCCCAAAGAAAGTTTTTTTCCAATTTTAAAAGCAGTGCATTTTATTACAACTATAGTTGGAGTGGATAAAATCACATCAGAATGTGTTTATGACTTTCAGTAAGTCAATAACATTGTTATTACAATGATAATTAATAACATTGTCATCGTGTGAGCGCAGGGTTCACCAGAACCTGAACATGAAAATCATGTTATTTAGTATAGCATATATACAGTCAATGGTTCCAACTCCTTCATGATTGTAGCTTCTCACTTATGTTTAAACAGCTCTTGGATTCTGTTATACCTCTGGTGGGGAACTGCAGCTTTATATTTTGCTATTGCTTTTGGCAGTTTACTATTCATTGATTCACCCATGGGTCTCCCATTAACACATCCAGTATCGTCTGCTGAAGATATTTAACAGCTGTATGTGAACAGGAGGGCTACAATTGTGGTTTCCAGCAGAATAACATGCAGTGTGTGAACAGTTTGGCTTCTGCTTGCACAATTTATATATATGTATATATATATCTATATGAACAATGTATGAACAATAAAAATGTTATACATATGCATACATATATATATATATATATATATATATATATATATGGAAAAAAAACAGGACAACATAGAGAACTAGAAACTCAAGAAAAGGCTTTAAAATGCTCATGGAAACAGTAAACTGTCTAGCATGTAGGGATAGCACATGACTAAATTAGGGAGAAAATTGGGTAAAAAGACAAAAAAAGAAAAATGTTTTTGTTGTATTTGGTGCCAATTTTGTTGCAGGTTTTTGTTTGTAATCTGGAGCTATAGAACTTCTAGGCCACTTGTGTTTATAACTTTGCCAGCTACTCAAGCGCAACTTTTTTGTGGTGAACTCAGAAATTCATGATGCCCGTCCAAATGCACCTTCAGTTATGGTTCTTTTAGGAAGGTCAGAAAATAAAATAAAAATAAAATATAAGCACATAAGTCGTGGGTTTTTTTGCAGTGTATTTCAGTTTGCTTATAGCTGCCAAGCTAAAATGGAAAGCACTGTAAAAACAAATTACTATTCATGTAAATAAACCTCTTTTATTTAATACGCAGTATATTGAATACTGTTATATAATAGCCATTTGAAAAGCACAGGAAATAATGTACAAGGTTTTTATGTGTTTATTTGCTTGTTTGTTTTCAGAAAAGTTCATATTGAATTCTTTAGGTATATAGAAACAGTTGTAGTTGTGTTTGTTATTTTTTTTCCCTTTTACTTCATAATGGATTTAAACAGAGACACAGTAACTGAACATGAGACTAAACATGGACGCCAACTGAGATTCGATGCAAAATTAGTCATTCGAATGGTTAAACCTTGTAGTGTCCCAATTTAACTGTTGTTTTTATTATATTAAGATTAAGACATATATTATTTCAGTAACACTTTACTGTAAGGCACTGTTCATAAGGCTACATGACACCTACATAAGCTCATCATGACAACTGACAAAGACTTACACAGACATTCATAAAGACTTATTTCATTGGGTGTCATTTGTTTTCAAGGTTGCAGTTGCCAGCTTTGATGTCTAGTTGAGCATCAGCGTTATATTGCTGATATATACACTAAGCTACATAGTCAGTTTGTTAATGACACAACACAATGTCTGAAAACGTCACTGTCATTTGATATAGATGTTGACAGAAAGTTGATGAAAGCAGGCTTTATGACAGATGACGTCTATTCGGATAAGCCTTCATAAATGTTATATAGGGTTATAGATGTTGTTATGACAGGCTTATGTAGGAGTCATGTAGCCTTATGACCACTGCCCTACAGTAAAGTCTTACCCTTATTTCTTCATCGTGTATTTTATAGATTGCTCTACTAAAATTTTATTTGACTTTTTCTATATTTACTAATTCCACATTTTGCCCCTTAAAGCTTTTTTTTAATACAAATAAAGTGTGCCTTGGTGATAGCGAAGGCTGGCAGCTTTTCTCTCTTATCACACCAGTAGTTTGTTTGGCCTGCAAGCACAAGTGTGTGTGTGTGTGTGTGTGTTTGGAGCTGGTTGTGTGTGTTAGTGTGTATGCGTGCGGTCAGTTTAGAGGCAGCGAATGTTATTACAGGCCTCTAAACCTTCTTACAAACAAACAAACAGCTTCAGATCACACAGCACTGGCTTGACATACACACACACGCAACCGTGGCATGACTGTTGGGGGGATTATCCTCCGTCCCCCTCACTCACTCCCCATGGCCATATGCTTGGCACAAAATGACACCTCCCCCTTACACGCGCACACACTTATACACATACATGGCCAAAAAGGCATCTTTTTATAGCCTGCTGGTAATCCATTGACCCACTTTATCATGCAACAGCACTTCGCAACTCTCACATGCACACACACATCACTGTTTTCATTTCGCTCCTGTTCTTTTTTTCACGGCAGCCCAGCCATTTGTCCTCAGGGATTTATACCACATGAAACAATTAGTTTGACCTCGTAAATCCGCTTGATACCATTCTTCGGTTCGCTTTGCTTTTGATGAAAGCGACAATGCAATGTCTTGTTTCGTTCATAGTTCATTCTGAAAGCCGTGCTATCATTTAAACAGACAAGTTTTGTTGAACCTGCTCGCTGTTATGAATGCCAAACAAGAGCAGGTCCCCGAAGTGATAAGCCGAAGCTACAAATGATGCCATTAAATGGACATTAGCGTGCAACACCTGTGTAATCATCTCTCTCCAGTGTATGTGTCACCTCCCTAAATTAAAATAAAGCTGCTCTCTGCGGAAAGGCGTCCAGCTGAGCATGGGGTCTGGGGCAGGAATGCCCAATAGGAGGGGTCCATCCTCCCTGCAGGAGGAAGAAAAGGGGAGTGATGTGGGACACAGCCGTCTGCTGGACATCAGTGACCCATATCTGCCCCAGAGAGGATTAAACCCAAGAGTCCTTCTGTCCTCTAAAGCCTTGGCTGTAGAGTCGACTCAACAATCAGCTCATATGGAACTCTGAAAAATATAGAGCAGTTTGAGGTTTGCTATGAACTGTGCAGAATTCGTAGTGGTACTCACATATAAATTGCTTGCATAGAGCCAGTTATAGAAATACTTAAGCCTCTTTCAACTCGATCTCTATCTGCCACACATACAACTTAGAAAAGAGCAGAAAACCTGTTGACTCAAAAGACACTTACAGTAAAAGCCAATGGATGAGCTCTTCATCACCTTTGTACTGGCTTCTGTTATAAGTGTGTTTTGAGTCAATATGTTTTCTGTTCTTTTATTAAATGTAGGAAAACTGTTGTCCATGGTAATCGACCATATGCTACAGACAGTGCAGATAGAGATCAGGTTCAAAAACGCTAGCGTTTTCTTTCAAATGAATAAGAATTCTAGGCCTTGACTAGGTTGTGTAAACAACGGCCGTGAGTTGTAGACCTTCTGTTGGATCAGTATAAATTTGTTCAGTCTGGCTGAGCAGGCTAGAGGCACTAGGCGTGCTAAACCCGCCTCTCGTTTTTCCCCATAACCCCCTACTAACACTTCTGCAGCTGTGCAGCATTAGAGCCTTGTGCTCTTCCATGCTCTAGTCTGAGGAATGCTCACCACTTTAACCCAGTGTTTATTGTAAACCCCCAAATGTCAGAACGCGTGTTTTACCAGGCTGTTGGAACAATCTCCTATTAGTTTTAACGCTGCAATCGCATGCACTTTGCATACATTAGACGAACAATAAAGTCAAAAGCATCCATCTCTCGGTAGGGTAATTAACATGGAAATTGGAGAACGGTATTTTGACTGCTCTCTGCTCCCCTCTGGCCCTGATGGGCGTGTCACTCCGACACACAACTAATGAATGAGCTAGTGATTTATGGTTAGTGGGGCCTCTTCTTGAAAGAGAGGAGAGAGAGAGGAGCTGTCAGTGTGTGTATCACTGCTTGAATTTGAAATAGGTTTGTAAAGGTCAAGACTCCGACTGTCTTTGCCCACCCACGTGCTGAGACATCCAGCGATAGATCATTGTATAAGAGCTATCAGTAAAAGGACAATGAGAAGTAAGACATCTGCCTCAAAGTTTTAAGGTGCATGAGGGCAGGAAACTAATTTCTACAGATCCGGTAATCCAGAAATTCAAGCCTTTACAACAAGCGGAAATACTTTCCAGCAACCAGTAATGCTTTCCAATAGCCAGTAACACTTTTTACTGTAGTTATGGGGGGAGGAGCATGCCTGAAACCCCTCCTTTTTCAATCTAACACCCTGTAAATTCACATCCTCACCTTCCTTTTCTGTGACAAAGTGTTCCCAGCAACCACTGCCACCCCATCTACTCTCTCTTCCACAGTCCTACATCAGTCCTACCACAGCTATGGTGGGGGGTCTGGCCTTCTAGCTATAGGCAGAAGCCGCCCAGAACTCCAGCCCGAATCTCAGAGCCCCCCCTCAATCAGTCTTGATACTACCACCACATGTTGAAGGCATTGTCCAAACTCACAAAATAGCCTGTAGCGCTTTCCAACAAAAATAAATACTTGCTTGCAAGTGGTAGCATTTTCCGATAATCAGTAACGCTTTCCAATAGCTGGTAACCTTTCCAGCAACTCGTGACACTTTCCAATAGCAGTAATGCTTTCCAATAGCTGCTAATGCATTCCAACAACTAATAATCCTTTTCAGCAACTGGTAATGCTTTCTGACAACCAGTAACGCTTTCTGGCAACCTGTAGCACTTTCTGACAACCAGTAATGCTATCCAATGCTTTCCAATAGTTTCTAATGCTTTCAATGGCTGCTAACTAATTCCAACACTGCTTTGCAGTAACCGACAACACTTCCTGGCAATCAGTAATGCTGGCTAGCAACTGGTTATGCTTTTGACAGCAATTGTAACAATTTACAATGGTTGCTAATGCTTTCCAACAACCAGTAATGCTCTGAATTGGTAAACTAATGTCAGTTGGCAGATACTGAATTTGTGACAGGCTTTTACTTAAAAGAATAAAGATTAGACCCTATTCAAAATATATAATACACAATCTGAAAGTAAGCAGAGTGATGATAACTACTTATAGATCTGTGTAAACTGTAGCCAATATGAGTTTTTAACCAGTTGCTTGTTAGTTAGCTAACTTGAAGTTCATGTGAGGTAAGGAAAAGGGGGAAGGCCATAATGTATGAATGTTAGCTAGCTGAAGAACCAACTATTTTAAGGATTTTGAGAAACTTGACAGATTATTTGTTTTCATGTTTCTAGTCAGTATTTCAAAATAATAACCGTTCAACAGTTTTAGCTGTGTAATGTTTTTACTATATACAAAGAATACTAGTGTTGTGTTGATTGTAACACAGTTTTATATCCCTGAATTCCTCAATCTGTGGATGGTCATAATGAGGTGTAAGATTTGAAGAAAGTCAGTCAGGTGAGAAGATTTTTGCCAGTTTAAACAAAAAAAAAAAAAGAATGCAGCTTTGATAAAACTTAGTGATCAAGAAGAAAGCAACTGTTGTTTCAGCTTTCAGTTAACATTTCAACTAAATTTGTAGAAATGTTATTTCCTTAATGCATCCTCATGTGTGAGACTAAATAAAAAATAACTGAGAAAATATTATTCTTTCACATTCTTCAAATGTGACTCACCCAGACTATTAAACATGTAAGCACAACTACAGAACAAAATCACGCTCTATCTGGTTGAACACACTGTGAGACTGTATCGATCTATAATCTGTGTGTTTGAATACATATTTAGGACCAGCAGTTCATCCAAAAGAGAGGAGAGAGCATTGCTTGACCTTAATACCTTTGTTAGATCTGAGTGGGTCGACACATAAAGTATTTCAGTCATAAAAGACCTTCTTGTGGGCCAACACATAGCATGGGCAAACAAACAAACCAAAAAAAACAAAGTTAGTTATTTAGTCTCATTATTTTGCCCAAAAGAACTACAGTACTTTGGGTTTGTACCTGGTACCTCGCTTGTACCTGGCTAATAGGGGGCAGTAAAAGTGTCACCCACTAACCACGGTCAGTGATCATCCACAGCGCAGAATTCCAAAAGGAGCAATAAGCATAATAAGCATCTCCTCTGAGTACTGAAGGCTCTGCTGTTTGACTGATGGAGGTCGTTTTAGTCTCTCTCTCTTTCCCTCTTTCTGAATCTGTCTCCTCAGGCCAGCGTGTCTCAAGTGGGGGCATGAGAATTTTCTTTTCCCCTCAGTCTCCTTTTTCCCTTTCTCTCCATTTGTTCTTCACCCTACAGCTCTCCCTTTCCCTTTCCTTTTCTCCTGATTCACTCTCTGCTTGTTTCCCCCTCTTGCCATGTGTTCTCTCGCACTCAAGGTCCTCAGGGTTGCACGTTTCAGGTGGGAGAGAGGCACCTCTGTCCTCCGCCATTTATTCTCTCCTCTCTTCGGTTCCTTCACCCATTTATTTCACTTCTCACCTTAAATCACTTCTTGTTCTCTTTACCAACACTCTGTTTCTTGCTGTGAGCCTTGCTCCTCAGTGCTGCTTCACCAGATGGAATCTGCTGTGAGGCACCTGAAGCTTTACACTGTAAACATGTTTAGTTTTTAAACCGAAAGAATTTGCTTTGATTTTACAAGTTCAACTCTTTCAAGTCAAATACATTCTTTAATTAAAACAAAACAAAATAAAAGGATCAAATAATAAATTATAGGCCAGAAAAAAAATCAAAAATACAAAATCAACATCTGCATTTTTTTTTAACGGTGTAGAGATGCTAGGCAGCCTTTTAATTTTTCTTCTCAGAACAGACTCAGAACACTTAGTAAAAAAAAAAAGGAGAAAAGTAAATAAACTGCTGATTTCAAATGTTGACCACTGAATTTGTTCAGTAAATTATTGTTCAGAATAATCAGTCTTGCACTCTGTTAATTAATTATTTGAAATTCAATCAACTCAAAAATTTAGGGCAGACAGGTTATTTATTTATCTTACCTATTCAAGTCCAACCACTAAATTTGGTGTGGTTGCATCATGATTCAGAGCCACATACTGTATACTTAAGTAGCCTAGTAGTTATATCAACATCTTGTAGTCAACAACTGAATGTCAAATCAAATAAAGTACAATTCAGTAATATTGCAACATTTATTGTCAGTTTTCTCTTTTTAGAGCATGCCATTTGAAATAGCGTCCCTCTGACTCACTTTCTTCTCCAACTGCTGTTTCTCACGTTGTCCCTCCTTGCTGAGTAGCATCACGTGTAATATTTACAACCCATTGTTCTGTGAGTTTTCTGGGCCACTAAAGCTACCGCAAAAGCTACCGCAAAGGCTAGAAAAGTCACGCCGATTAAAATAGGACCACCCCATCGCAATTAAATAATTCTCCATAGTTTATCTGTTATAGGTCCAGGTCCGCATAGGACAGCATCTGGGTCCGGACTCAGACTGTGGTCCACCTATTAGGGACCTTTGGTCTAAAGTAACAAAAGTAAAAGTATCCATCTTGTTTTGTTTGATAAAATATCGATTTCATACATTAATTCACAATCAAATTTGAATTTGCTGTACTTTTCAGTCATATTATTTGAAAGATTTCTCAGATTTTTAGGCAAACTCTGAAAACATGGACCAAAGAAAACTGAGAATGTCACACACTGACATTAATGGTTTAAGTGAAAAAATGTATCGTGTGTTTCAGCTGATATGTCGTTATCCACATTAGCGTATGGGCCTTGAGTGACTTTAAGCAATAACATTATTGCCTGCACTGTTGATATTCTATGACCTTCTTAACTGAAAGCAGAATGACTGGAATCCCAAACAGCGACCCAACCATTCAAATGAACACAGCGGACTCCACATATATGTTTCACCAAATGTGGCTTTATTTTCATTTTTACAAAACAACGAGGACTACCAAAAAGTTAGTCAGTGGAACAGATGATTTTGGTGTTGAACAGAACACATTTTCACACTGTCTCTGAAGCACTCCTTCAAATAAAAGCAAAACAATAGGTACAATCTTCCAAAGCAGGTGGGAAAGAAGAAACTCGCTCCACATTCTTTTCAGACCACAACAACAACAGGGACCTTCTGAGGGTATCAAAGCTAGCAGTGTCCTCAGCGCAAAAAGGTCCAGGCTGCTTTTGCCGGTTTGTCAAACACACGTTGTGCTTTGTATCTTTTTGTTGTTCTCCAACGCAAGAGTGCAATATTATTTATGTGTTCAAAAAAACTGTACTGTCGACATTTCTACAAAAAGAGGTTGGCACATTCAGACAATAGCTTTGTTTTTTTATTATATCGGACCTTTTAATGTGTTTTCTTTTCTTATAAATACAATATATTTCATCTTTCCCTGGATCTGGCCCCCATGTAAAAAGCTTAAAGAGAAGACTATTTACAGTGACAATGGGATTTAAAATGGCCCCAATGAACGTTATAAATAACAATAATAATAATAACATAATGAAAAAGTCCATGACTTGCATGTGGTGAGGCAGATGATCTGTACACTCATCCTTCTCTCTGCTGATGAGCTCTTTCAAGGGACGGAAAAAAAAAAACTGAGGGATGTTGACGGATGTTTTTTTCGTCCATTGGCATTCCCTTATCTCATCTCCTGAAAAAAGACAAAAGATAAATGTTTTAGATTAAGGGGAAGGTCATTTCTACATGATGAAGCACACAATGATGTTATTCTTGAGTTTTTTTCTACTCAAGAATAACAAAAACTTTAATAAAAATGGGCTAAACATTAATTGGGGCCTTTAATCTTCTTTTGTGCAATAAACTCAGTAGGGAAGGTCTAAGAACTAAACATAGGACAAATGCCACAGATCTTCTTGTGATTGGTGTAAAATCATGAAATTTTGTAATTACACCTTGAATGCAATTGTTACCCTTTCATTCCCAATGAAAATGGGATTTTCTGTCATTTTGATAAAAGTTAGTAGTGACAATGTGACAAACAGTGATAACAGCTCTCTTTTCAGCTGTATGGTTTGACCACACATTTCCAAATCTCCAAAAACATTGCTGATTTGTGCTCAGGCAAACTCAGGGAACATTTGAACCAAATGTAAAACTTCAGATATGGACATTAATGGGTTAATTCTGCATGCATCTCAGGGGATTGGTCAGCATGAGATCTCAGAAAATCTGACACCATGAAATAAAGGCCATCTCTGGAAGCCACCTTTTCACGCGCTCTGTCCGGCTGGAAAGATAACGCTGAGGAAGAGCGTAACCCTAAACTGTCTCCCCCGGGAACACATAGGCCTCTTTTGTGTGGCCTGCTTTTAAAGTTCCCTGAGGGGTAAGCTGAGAAGGGGCAGAGATCTGAAGGCAGGGGGCTGTGAAGGACAGAGGGGGTACGATCTCTTTCTCATGGCAGGACTCCTCCGCTCAGGAGAGAAATGTTTAAATAATAAAAAAGGGGTTTAGGGTCATTGCGATAGCCCTATTGCTGCATTCTCTCTGACTACTCTGTCCTGCTGATCAAAGCTCAGACCAGACCCTCGGTCTGCAGCTCCATCATGACATGGAGACACAGAAGGGCTTTGGCTGGAAGTTGAGAAGTCCAAAGACTTTGTGGATGTACAGAAAAGCACAAGCCATTAGGCATATACTGATATAAAAGGAATATCATGATAATTACATTTTATCATGATTTAGGATATTATCATGAAATTTCACTATTTGTATAAGATAATACATGAACATATCTGTCATTTTGAAAAGCAATGAAGTGCTGGTAGTTATACATTTTGGGGGTTTCTGACTTTTAAAAAAAATGACCTTGATGGCACAGTAACACTGAAGTTTTCATTAATTTGTGGAATCCTGTCTTTTTGACAGTCTAAACTGGTATATCAAGTCTTTCGTTTATAAATGTGCATATACATGCGCGCGCGCGCACATACACACACACACACACACACACACACACACACACACACACACACACACACACACACACACACACACACACATATATATATATATATATATATATATAAAAAACGCTGCTGTCGGAACAAAACCTTGTATCTCCATTTTTGACATTTTTGACATGATTTAAAAATGCCTGTTGTCCTTTACATTGTGTGTAAATTTCATAAAGAATGGACCAAACAAAAAAGCCCAAAATTACTTGGAAAAAACTCTGGCTCCACTGATTTACTTTATGTTTTTTCCTTCTCCTGTAAAGTTACCATTTTGGAAATATGAGGTTTTGTTCTGACAACACCGATATATATATATATATATATATATATATATATATACACACCTATATATACACATATATATATACACACCTATATATACACATATATATACACACACCTATATATACACACATATATATATATATATACACATATATATATACACATACATATACACATACGTGTGTGTGTGTGTGTGTACTCTAATTAAAATCCCGAGTATGAAAGTATAAGTACTGTAAACTTTAGTGTGAGCTGTGAAGGTGTTGCTATAAAGGTTTATACTTTAAATAATTATTACAGTGTAATGAAAAGTACACAATTACATTTTTGTTTACATAATTATATTTATACTCAGTTAACATTCTGTACAGGTTTAAGAGTGTACTTCTGACTTTTCTCTGATGGACAGAACTTTGCAGTTTGTTTTCAAGGATTTTTAAGCTTTAACAAAATGTACAAAAAAACATTTTAAGAAGACACCATGGAGGACCCATTACAACGACACCTTTATTTCAGACAGTGTTTGAAAACAGCAGGCATCAGAGCATGTAAAGAGAGTCTTCTCTATCAGCTGTCTGGCTTGTGGACAGGAACTGTCAGCAAGCAGCTTGTTGGCGACTCTTTAATGCAGCAAGAGCACTTAAAGCTCCTCTCTAGACTTGAATGGGCCTCTAGAAATCTCAGTCAATTCTATCTCAGTCACAGTAATGAAAAAAGAGCACTCAATGTGTCTGTTTGTATCTTCTGCCTAATGTGTAAGAATAGCTCAGGATTTGAATTAAGGCTGCAGGATGAGACCAGTTTTTGAGATTAAGGAGTCATTTCTGAGCTGTGCAAGCTTCATTAGTCTTAGAATGTGCTCCTAAAATCTCAGCATCCTAACCAAGCCACCGGTTGCTATAGTCGCTATATATTCATCATGTCATCACCTTCAGTTCTTCATTGTCTCACCTCATTCCTTTTGCGGCTGTTTCCATGACCTCTGGATCCTGTTGACCCTCGCGACGAAGAACTTCCTGTCGTGGAGCAGTTGCTAGACATCTGGCTGCGGGACAGGAAATTGGGCTTGTTGTAGGGAATCAAGTCTTCATCTGTGGAGTGATACATTTGGCACATCAGTCAGCTCCAAGCTACTGAGACACGTTTAAAGGCGTTTACATAAACTATGTTTATTAACTTTAATCCTTTAATATTAATGTAAAAAACACCTCTTACTGCCCTTTAATCCACTCTTATCTTTTAATTAGTATTAGGAACTAAATTCATCTGAATTCATAGATTTTTTTTGCTTGTCTGACAAAATACCGTTTTAAGTGAGCAAAAAAATGCCTGGGAAAATGTATAATTTTATTGTTATTCCGATGAAACAAATCAATAATGAGCATATGAGTGGACTTCACATCACTAATGGGCTCATTATTGAAACTATAACTATATAGTGCATCCAACAAAAAGGAAGTATTGCATTTCTTTTTATATAGTGATAGAAAACATGGTAGCCCACAGAAAGTTCTATTCCACATGCTGATCCACTTTATGGCCAACATGAAAATGCACCCATCACATTTACTTTTGTGGGTGATTTTAATCAGTTAACGGAGACAAAGCCAAAATCTCTAAATGTATCACTGGCGAGACATTACATAAGACTCAGGGAAAAACCTAAGTCAAACTGTAAGAGACTATAACGAGTATTTAATGCACAGAGAGTGTACACGTATGCAGAATGGTTGCATAAAGCACAGTTAGTCTTCTCACCATCTTTCCGTCTCTGAGCTGAGTTCTTGCGGTTGGGCGTGTTGTGCTCTCTCCTTTCCATGGAGGACAGCGAGCCCCCCTCTCTCTCCAGCGACGTCTGCCCACACTCAAAGCCTCCAGCTGGGCCTCGGACTGGCTCATCCTCTGGCGGGGGTTCTGGAGGAGGGGGCAAGTCTGGGAATAGAAGAGGTCTCAGTGTTAACCAGTAACTGGAGGTGGGCGATTTAAACTCAAATTTGTGCCATTTTGAATAAACATTAAACAGGTATACATTATTTAATACACACATTAGTGTATAATCACAATGCAATATCATATACCAAAATGATATCTAGCATATTTCATCATAAGTTTATCAAAGCTTTATCATCTTGTTTGTTTTTCATTTAAACTTGGACAGTCAATACATTACTCAGTGTTAGTATCAGAAGCATTTTAAATCTTTTACACTGTGTTTCCTGGGATGTTCCCTGTAACCAAACATAAAATAAACCAATTCCAAATGACCAAAGACTGTCCCCTCCAAGTCCTTGTCATTCTCTACTTTAACCTCAGTGCTGTTTGTCAACCTTTTGCACAGTTTGCTGCAGCTAACAGCTGTAGAGGGAGCCTGCAATTCTATTTGCTAAGTTTACCATTCTGTATGTGTTGTGTCCAGTACAACGCCTCAAATGAAAAAGGAACCCCATGACGCAGCAATTGCAGTTGATTTGCTCTCACCTCCTTGCATGATGTCTCTACGGTACTGGCCACTTTTAGAGGACTTCTTTTTAACCCTCGCCTTCTGGCCAGGAGGAGTCTGGACTTGGTCTCCTGCAGACAATCTTGCCCGTCCTAAAAAATATAAAGAAAGAATAAAAGAAAACAATATGAAATACTTCACCACATTTGTAGAAGCAGCTACTGTATAACTCTAACAGAAAAGTTTGAACATTTGTGGATACTAATAGTACAGACACTTAATAGCCAAGTACAAGTAAGCTGGTGTTGTCAAAGTTGGCACATTGAGTGGGTTAATTACTTTCAGACTTGACTCCAAAATATATGAACAGCTCTCACACACACACACACACACACACACACACACACACACACACACACACACACACACACACACCTGGTGTGTTGACATTGTCTGCACTCTGTGCCGCTCCTTGGCTCAGATCCCGTCTGTGTGTTGAGCGGTGCGGCGTGCCGCTCTCAGGGCCCTCCTGATTAGCTGATAGGTTTGGGTTGGACTGTGTGAGGGGGGGGCTGGGCGCTCGGGGAATGGGCACTGGTCCACATGGCAACCGGCTGTCAACATCAAATAGGACCGATCAATTACTGCTCAACAATGACAGGTCAAATAGACACCAGTATTACGGAGACTTTACATGACCTGTTTTCATGCAAACGTAACAGCACTGTCAGAAAACTCATATCCCACCCCAGGAAACTATAGCTACAATAAACAGAAACTGGCTGAGGGATCAATTATTCATAAGACACATTTCTCTCAAGCAGGAACAAAGGAATAAGTGGTGAAACATCTCCGAAGAGCAAGAAAACAAATGAAGCATTATGTCACAGCATGGAAGTGAGGCGCAGGAAGCTAATTCCCTAAAGGAAGATGTGTGTGTGACACAGAAGCATATTAAGAAAAGGAGTAAGAAAAATCTGCCTCATCTACATCACCCACATCCTGCTGGTGTGATGATATTTTTATAAAAAACACACAGGGGAGCTAAACATTGCCATATCAAATACAGTCCCACTATAATAAAATGATTCAAGTGTGAAATGTTTGCAAGTTTTGTTACAGTGAAACATTATATGCACAGAGCAAAACAGGACAATGGGCTATATTTACTTGTGTTATTCAGTTCTCAAACTGTCTCAGTTCTCAACATGGTAAGAGAAACCTCACTTTACTCTTTACTACACTTTATTGGCTTTCTCCCAAGTTTAGTCACAGCCAATTCCACCCACTAGCTCGGTCTGCTCCTATCCCCCTACCAAACCGGGAGAGTGAGGGCTAGACAATGGGGTCAGCACATAGAGTTGCACCACTCAGGAAGCCCATAAACCTAATTCTAATGTAGCATTTTATTTCCTATTCAGCTAATAAGAAAATAAAGCGCTGTTGTATGCAAAGCTTTAAAAAGATGAGCTTAGTGTTAATGTTACAATAAATTTATCACAATTAAGGGGTGTTGTTGGGCAATGCAATGCAAAGCTGCTCACTGTTTTTTGAAACCCATTCCAACATTGTACAAAATACCAATATTCAATAAATAGTAATACTCGCAATAAACAGTTCTTTCACCAAAGAATGCTGTCAAACAGTAGGCTGTGGCTGTCGCTTAACATAAAGATTATTCAATGAACAACACAATTTCTAATTAAACATACAGAATTCAGCTGATGTGTGTGGCCATATGTGTGTGTAGAGTATATTATGAACGAGACTCAACTGGATCTTAGAGCTCTTCATTTTCTAAGATCCATTAAACATCTAATGAACTCATGTCTGCTAATAATCTTCTGATGTTGTAAGGGATCTTACCGTCCAGGATGAGGCTGCTCGAGGTGTTGGAGGCGTGGGATGTCCTGGCAGTGGCGGGCCTCCTCTCTGGGTGAGGGTGTGAGAGTGGCTGTGGATTGATGGCTGTAGGAGGTGGCAGGGGACGACGCATCTCCTCTGGGAGGTGGACACGGTCCATCCTCTGCCATTCCGTCTATGAGACAGGTCCTTTCTGGCAGTGGAGGACACCAGTCCTCCTCATCAGTGCTGTGTATGGAGGGAGAGAGGGAGTGTAGCAGAAAATTAGTGTCACTGTAATAACACACACTGTAGTTCACTTATCCTCACATTTTTGAGCCTTTTTGGAGGGTAGCAACAACAGATTTTCATTTAACACTTTTAAATGATTGTATAAATGATACATATGGGGCCCATATCCTAAATTCAAATTTTACATTCAATTTTACAACTTTCTTTAACCCTTAAAATTAAACAAGCTATTTTCTAAGTGTGTCTTTAACACTGATACATGTAAATGTCCTCTGTAATGATCACATGCAATCAAAAAGCAATCTAGGCTTTGTTTTTGCAGCTTCGTTTCTATACCTGGACTGAAGGAATGAAGGATTGTAGACGTGAATGCTACAAAATGTAGCATTCACAGGAAAGGACACATTGGTGTACTACTGGAGGATACTAAGCCCTGTGGAATGCTACCAATAATATCCTCCTTAAACTGCAAACTTATTATTCACTTATTAGCCCTAAGATTTATTAAACTGGAGGCTTATTATTCACTTATTAATCTTAAGATTAATAAGTCAGCAAGTACCATAAATAATAAAATGAATTTTCTGTCATTTATGTATTTATGAGAACTAGGAATTGAAGTATTCTCTGAGCCCTTAGAGTATATGAAAAGAATATGAAAAAAGTGAATAATGTTTATTTCACACCTCTGAACTAAACTCTTCTTTTTCCCCCAAGGGTTAAAAGTCTGTAGCTAAAGCAGAATCAATCATAGCACATTCTTTTTGATCGCTCATTCCAGTAATCAGTGGCTCAGTTGAACTACTGGCTAGTGTATCGATTTCTACTGTAACACAGGCATATGTGCCTGCCTGGCCCCTGGCTAACTATGGGGTTTTGGTCTTCAACAGGGGCCGTCCATGTCAGAGAGGAATGATGATGACTTAATACTGAGTCCTTCTGAGTGACACTCAGGTCTGAACCCCAAGGCGTTTACATACCACTGAATGGATCTTTGATACCTTATACCCACTTCGAGAGAGGAGTTTGCTTTGGTGATGTGACAAGTATTTGAACTATGTTGCTGAACTGCTATGGCACAGTTATAAGGTTAGCAGGTCCAAACGAAAGGAATGAGCAAAGCCTTGGTTGTAATTCAATAATCAGACCCATATTCCTCTAAAGGGACTACAGGGCTCTTGCAAAGGTCAACCCTGTTATCCTCAAGTTCATCGCAAATTGGAGGACTTTACTGTAGGCTAGTAATGGAAATCGAGTTTGGCTGGGTGGCTGTGCGTGCTAACGCAGTGAATGATCCTATTCTGCTTGGAGGGAGGAACATGAGAGGGGCTGTACCTGCTGCTGGCTAATATCATTACTGCTAGCCTGCTGAAAAACGAAAAAAAAGAGCAAGAGAGAGAGGCTGCATCAGCACTATCAGGCTCCCTCATCTCTGCAGTGTGCTCTTAGAGTCAGGCCTGGTTAACGGCCGCGGTTAATGTGCCTTGCCTCCTCTGCGGACCCTTTGGGCAGCCATTCAGGTGAAGTGGCATCAGAGAGCGATAAGTATGTCAACCTGTCACCACCCGTGCACACACGCATAATGCCTGCGGTCAGGCCACTCAGCGGCTAACGCTAACCCCTCCGCACGCTAACGAGAGAGTAATGTGATATAGAGGGAGGAAAGAACAGGAACATTCAGCCCAGACAGGCAGAAACCCACACGTCTCACAAGAGAACAGAGCACTGGCCAGCATGTTGTTAACTTTGTTTTCCACGACAGAGAACCCTGTCGGGGCCAATAGTGGACACCGGCAGCACAGCTAATGGAGCAACTGTTCCTGGAATAAGCATGGAACATTCAGACTTTCTGTGGCAACTGCAGGATATTAGAGGCTGTGCTTTTGTAAGTTTTCAGCCAGTCGATAATCTAATGACTATAGTTCCATAAGCATCATATTCAAAAATCAGCACCGGTGGAAATACAAAGAAACCATACTTAAGTGAAAATATGGGTACATTAAAAGTGGAAGCATAATGGCAAATATATACCTGAGTGAAAGTAAACCACTATTGACAAACTCAAGTACATAAAAGTAAAAAGTACTTTACTTTTAATTCATTTAAACATAGAATGCTGGTCACAAGCTGAATATACTCTATGTATCTCAGATTAGCAAATCTGCCATGTCTTAACCCTTTTTTAACAAATGTATAGTATGTGCAGGTTCATTTTACATTAATATGAATAAACTAAAAAGAAATAAAACATGCAAGGACTCTTTTTTCTTCATAAAAAGTAAGAGTATTCAGTTTCATTTATATTAGGCTAAGCCTTCTACAGAAGTAATATAAGAACTCAAGGATAGTACGTGCATCTCATTCCACTTGGAAAAGACTTCTAAACTCTAAGCACACAGTTCAAGCTTAGCCAAAGGCTAAAAAGAATTTTCAATGAGAATCCCTACTGACATGTAATTCAGTTCAAAACTACTCTCAAACTTGAATCAAAGGGTTTGTTGAGTTACAAACTGAAATATGTTGACATTAATTGCTGCTGCATTTAATAGTAAGGTAATAAAGTTCACAAATGTTGATTAAAAATGTGTGGCATAATTAAATCAAGTTCATACAACAATTTTTTTTGAGTAGAGACATCTGTGAAACAGATTTATGAAAAACAGGCTGTGTTGACCACCACACGAGCTATAGGGAACAAGCCTATAATGTCTGTGAATGTCAATGGATACCAGGTTGCTCTTACCCTATGTCCTCTATATGTTCATCATCGTCCTCATCTGAACAGTGTTCTAACTCTCCAGAGGGAGGTGGAGGTGGCAATGGCTCCATCCAGTTCAGTGAAGGAGTCTTCACTGCCTTTCCCATTGACTTCTGCTTTGACTGCTTGGCTATAGGGAGGATAGTCATTGTGAGTAAACTAGGGAAACAACGGAGTCTTTAGTAAACATGAAGATCAGAAATGATGGAGTATTTGCAAGCTTGGCACATCAGGACTAATTAATAAACTACACTCAGCACATTAGAATAACGAGGTCTAAAGGAAAACATCATTGAAACAAGGTAAAGCTGCATTCACAGTTTCATAATCTGTACCAGTATCTGATTTGGAGCGGTCCGGCTGGGCGTACTGCACGTTGGAGGTTCCTGGTTGGTTTATCCAGTGGCCACCATCCTGCTCAGGGCTGCAGGGTGCCTGGTTAGTGAAAGGCATGATAGGAGTACTGGCATAGGGTGTAGTGTGCTGAGAGTACTGTGCTGAGAAGCTGCGCAGGTCTTCAGCAGTGGGGTCGATGGTACTGTAGATGGGGCCTTCATTGGAACCAGTGCTATATTTCTCTGTCTGGTTCAAGTAGTTGGAGATTCCAGCCTCTGAGAGAGCGAAGGAGTAAAAAAATAGAGATGAATTCAAGTACATCAAAAGATGAAAATACATCAAAGAACTTTAAAGCAAAGAGTCATGGTAAGTTTAAGTTTACACCTTTAATAGCCAGGACCTGCAAGTAGGTCCAGGCTTTCATTCCTCATGCCTGTATCTTATGAATGTTGGAGTGTTTTGTGTATTTCTGCTGTTGTGATGTTGAGATGATCATGGTGTCTTTTAAAAAGAGAAAGTCTGAACATCACTGGCTCATGTGAATGCGCAATATATATTATGTTGGCATAATTAGGGTCTAGGGGCTAGTTTATAAGGAAAAATGATTAGTTTTTGGACAATGCAATACAAATTGAGAGAACATGGATAAATGTCTTTCATTTTCTGTGTAATTTGATTGAGTACTAAGACTACCAAGAAACGAAAGTTATGAAGTATTGAGAATGAGGAATTGAAGGGTCAACATATGACCCCTGAGGGATTAAAGAGTTAATGAATGAAAAGGTGTGATCATATGCCTTGGCCTTTCAGTTTCATGATTGACATTCCTTGGAATGCATCTCCAAATACATGTACCATTTCTTACCATTGTAATATCTCTCTGCTGTGTCATGTTTGGAGGTACAGCAGTTGACTGAATCTTTGGCATTATGAACAAGATTTGTAGTGGGCCAGGAATCTGCCAGCCAGGGGTAGTTCCCCATGTTAGAGCCCAACACACCTGGCCTGAAAACATAGGGAGGTTTTACAAGATCCAGAAATCAATTTTCTGCATACTAACAGATTTAACTGTGTACCAAGGTACAAACCTTCCATTTAGTCCTGAGCCTTCCCCATGAGGAAAGCCAACTGTTGGAGAAAGGAGGAGATGGCAATGCATTCATTAGGTTATCCAGCTATTCTATATAGGTTATAAACATGTTAATGTTTTTTGTGTGTATGTGCGTGTTCTCCTACCTGCAGGTGTGTATGCGAACGAAGCAGTGTAGTGGCTCAGCTCCTTTCTCTTCTTGCGTCGGCAGTATATCCACACACTGAAGCCCATGAGGATTACCCAGCATGCCCCGCCAATGCCTGCGATGAAGGCGGGCTGCTTTACTACGTCTGTGATCTGCTCTGCAAGACTTACATTTTGATCCGAGTCACCGCCCCCACTCGGTACTGCAGGCTGCTCTGCTGGCATCTCTGATAGAGGGCGAGAGGGAGAGGGAGTCAGAAAGATAGCCTAAAATGGAGTAAAAAAATATTCCACACTTGTCTTATCAAAGACTGTGCTGGCATTTAAGCTACGTGTTATTTTTACACATCAACACTTAATGGGCCAAAACCAACAAATCTATTTATAAAGAACACAGATAATAATGTTTGCAATGCCATCAGTAACGGCTAACTGATAGAGGCTGTGTGAGTTGGCAAACAGAATTCCTCTGTAAGTTCTTACTTTTGGGGTATATATAAATTCATATATGTAATTTGAGTTATGGAATATATTATCATAGTCATTGTCACATATTATCATTACCATTATAACCCAGAAATCCACATCTGTCATTTTTCACTTTTTTACATGATTTAAAATGAGTAGCTGCCATTAACATGGTATGAACATCACATTTTTTACTTATCCTAAAAAAATAACAATAACACAGGATAGCTACCATACATAACATACATATCAGAGAAAAGTATATATAAAATGAAGCGTGTCATTTTTCAGTTTGCACTCACTGATGATCACAGAGACTGGCTGGCTATGTGTGCCCACTCCAGCGCTGGTCACTGCTGCCACCTCCACATGGTAGAGCACACCAGGCAGAAGGCCCTTCACCAGAGTGGATAGCACATTCCCATCCACTGTCTGGTTAATGTGGTAGCGTGTCTGTGAGTCATTCCCCAAGCACCAGATCTGAGGACACAGTAAACTGGTCAATAATCTCTCCAAATAACTACAAGCTCACAGCACTCATGCAACAGAGCTAGAAGACCAGAGTATTAAAATGTACCATTATATTGTTCAATTAAGTAATGCTTATGCAGCATTTCTGACTATAGCTTTAATCTGGTATCATTTTATTTGCAAGCTACCTGCATAGGTACTTCATAACATATTCATAACACTGAAACTGTATTTTAAATGCAATACTTGAGGATTTATAAAATGCTTATGTCAGTATTCACAAGATGACATAATGCAAGATTACATAATTAAAGTATGAAAAAATTCCTCACTTTGACCTCTCATGTCATCTTTCAATTAAGGACATGAGCTGTTCATAAGTACCTTATTCAACACTTATGTACATATTATGAAAAATCTCGGTAGTCTTTAAATTAAGTGTTATTAAATTTTCCATGGGTTTGTATTCTTTCATCATTCATTTACTTATCTGAGAATGACTTTTTTCTCCTTGATTGTAAATCCTGTACCAGTTTAAATTTGACTGAATACAGTACGGTGCTTCGTGTCCCTCAGATAGAAATCTGTTGGGCTGCTCCATTCAATTTTCTACCTGAATGGCCAATCCTCTTACCTTATACTCTTGGATGACTCCATTTTGCATCTCAGCAGGGGGAGGCTGCCATGAAACACTGATACTGGAGCTGTTGCTGGGTTTGACTGTTGACACAGTAACAGCCTGAGGAGGTGCACTGGGGACTGGCAAGAGAGAGAATAACAAACAATTTAAAAAAATCATAAAAGCAGTAGGTGTGCTTAAGTTTGCCAGTAATGTGAGAGAAATTCACTGGATTAATTTTGATTTCAGTGCCTTTGACATAAGCTATTATATGACGAGTCTTGATTTAAGGACCTATTCCAAAATAACCTCCACTAAATTGTCTCACCTAATATTAAAGGTACTTTTAATAAGTAATTGCAAAGAGGAGTCTCACCCTCTTCAGGTGTTCGGAGGGTCAGTGGACGGCTGTCCATGCCCTGGAACTCATTAAAATACGGTCTGATTTTGACCTCGTACTCTGTGCCTTTCAGCAGGTTGTTGAGGACAGTGCTGCGCTCAGGGGCTGCCTTAACATCCTGTTGGAGCCAGGAACCCCCCACCTGCCGGTATAGCAGCCGATAGCCCTGAATGTACTGGGACTGGCGGTCAACCTGTGAGAGAGCGAGAGAAAAGGAGAGACACAGAGGCTCATCAGGGAGGACACTTGGTGTAATAATTATAATATGATCCTGCTCAGTGTGTACTGACCTTGTAATAGTCAGGCTGCACTGCCTGAATGGTAAAGTGTGCAGCTCTTATTCTAATTCATTTGTACCTGAACCTAACTTGAAAGGTATGCATAATGTAAAACATGTTTTTAAGCCTTATCATTTTAAACCCTACTCTTGCTGTAACTGGTCACTGCAAAGAAAGTTTTCCAAGTTAAAAACACTGTGTTGGGTAACTTCCCAAATGAAAATGAATTTAAATGAAATCTAACCCCAGCCCAACTTGTGTGAGAGTATTTTTATGCTGTGAATTCAGAGGGTGTATGTGGTCAGACTCAGTACTCACAGTCCATGTAAGCTGTACACTGGATGCAGTCAGCAGCACAGGCTGTTGCAGTTCCACGGCCACTTCGCCCAACTCGCGCTGCACCTGCCTATGGTCCACCCCCTGTCCTGTAGGACTCACATCTAAATGTAAACAGTAAGACATTAGAATATCCATATCCTAAAGTAATTCAATTACACCAAATATTTCCATTCAATAAAATATGTCTATGGTCAGCTTGTATAGACGTTTTACCTTTATATAAAATGCAACAGCAACTTATGCTGTTCATTAATTCATGAGTTAAACAACCCCTTTAGTTCACAGTTTGAGTGCAAAAAAATCCTACCTGGCTGAAACACTGATCCCTTGATAGATTCTTTTTGTTTGTGTTAAATAACTGTAGTTGTGCATTTCATTCTTTTAAAGTAATCCACATTCATCAAATTAATAAAGGTACAACTCACTGCATCTATTATATGAATCTACAGTGAAAACAGTGTGAAATCCCCTGATACATACCTTGTGTGCGTACTGGCTCTGAGATTGGGCTGGGGTCACTCAGGCCGTAGGCATTGACAGCTCGGACAATGAACAGGTAGATGGTGTTGGGGGAGAGTCCACTCACTGTGTGCTTTTCAAGCCTCACCAGATCCGCTACTGTCTGCCATGTACTACCTGCCGACTGGCTGCAGAACAAAATGTAAAAAAAATGTTTAATTAAGCAAAAGACTTTTTAAAATACATTTCACTGACCTTCACAAGCACAAAATGAAAACAGCTTTAGATGTGAGTATAGTTAGCAAGCATCTGTAAAAATCATTGCACAAACTACATTTATTCCAGAGCTACCAGGTCATTTACAGAATGAGTGTGGGAATGAGTGTGTTTTTGCAGTGAATGTCGGAATCATGGCTGTTCATCTGTGAGCTTGGAGATAGCCATTACATGCTCTGCTGGATGATGCTGCTCATTGCTGAAGTAAAGCACCGCTGTGTTGAATGGATGAATGAGAGTGCTCAGTGATGACAGGGCTATTTTTAGCAGAAACAGGGTTTACCTACCAGGAACGAAACAGCTAAATGCAACCAGTATGCATAGCACAGGCTGGCGATACAAGACTGATGTAACCTCTCATGTCAAAAAAAAAAAGCCAAAGTTTTGGACTAAAATGAAAATAAAATTCTGGCACTGCTGGCATTTTAAACACCTCAGTGTCACTGCTTAAGAATAGACCACCAAAAATACCCAACCAACAATGGCCCTGTGACCAACAATAGCCCAACAATGGCACTAATGAAGTTCTAGGGGATTAACACAAATTGTGCATGGGAAAAGATGCCCTACAGTCTCTAACTCTGTGCCAACAAAGTGCATCAAATTTGGTGGCCAGTAAGTTTACAGTGTTTAAAAAACCCAGCAAAGCTGTGCTGAGAGTGGTCCACCGACAAAATAATACCTGGTCTAGGGGGGTCTTATAGTGGTCCCTTTCCATTGATGGGCGGTGACAGAAGGTGGCAGACAAACTGTGCAGCAACAGATGGGATACAATTAGTTGTAAGCCTACAAAGTGCACCTATATGGATGGTGTACCTGATTAAATGAATATAGGTACAAGGTTGAATTTAAAATACTGGCAGCTCAGTGTATATTCTCCAAAAGTAAATGTCTAATAGAAAAAAGGCATTGCTCTTGAGCATTTTCACTGAGATCTGCACACACAAACAGATCTGAGATCAGCACCTTTAATCTTGAGAACCTTAATACATATAGAACCAGAACTAGACTCAGCTAAAAACGAAGATTCTCCAAGGTCTCCTTACTCCAGGAATAATCACATTTAAGAAAACCTGTGCAAGAGATTTCACTGTTCTCTCCCTGCAGGCACAAAGCTAGATTAGATTCACATTATACATCTCCCTTATAATAAAATTAGTCATAAATTTTAAGACCCCACATCTGTTCACAGTGGCAATAACTTCGCTCTATGCCTCTTCATTTGTCTGTGGTTAACCAGCATCCTTGTTTAGAGCAGCCATCACGTATGCCATGTTTAGCGTTTTATTTTCCCCCTGCGGCTCCTCATGGTGCAGACGCAGCCCCTGGGCAGCCAACCTGCACCATTACACAGAGCCAGGAGCACCGGGAGGCTCGTAAATATTCAGCCTGCAGTGCTGCCAGAGCGGCCATAAATCCAAGGTCACTTTGGCCATCAGCTCTGAGAGAACGCGCACCTCTCTCTCCGGTCTCTTCTCTACTCTTTCCTCTTCTCCTCTTCAACTATGCATACATATAGGAATGAGAAAACATTCTACCTTTTATTCTACACTCTGCACTTAAAAATAAAGCTGTGAAAAAGGGTTCTTTGCCATAGAAGAATAACTTTGGGTTCCATAAAGGACATTTCAGTGGACGGTTCTTTAAAGAGCACGATGACAAGAATGAAATGACCTTTTTAAAGTTTTAAAAAAGAATGGCTGTATAATGTACACTGAAGGTTTTCAAGCAAAGAACCTTTATCTTTAAGAATGCACCACCACTCTCCTCCTTCATAAGCATGCAAACTCCAACATGCACATAAACACAGACTAGAGTTGATGGTGCCATAAATCTAATGTTTCCATATAAAGGTGCCGCCTTCTCTCTCTTCCTGCTCCTTCAATTTCTACCCCTCCTTCCACTCTTCCTCATTCTTCTATGCATCTCCCCCTCCATCTTTCATGTTCTGCCCTCTTTCCCTCCCCACTATGTCCCCTAGCACCTCAGGCAAGGAAATGTTATTGTAAACACTCCATTCACCCCCAGAGCACTCTATAAAGAATCAATTTTGGGTTGTGTGCCACTACGAACCACTGCCCAAGGGGCCAAGAGGGGAAGTGATGAAGCCTTGTGTATGTGTATGTGTGTGTGTGTGTGTGTGTGTGTGTGTATGTGTGTGTGTGTGTGTGTGTGTTTATGTGTGTGTGTGTGTACGTGTCTATGTTTGGGTTGTATTGCTGTTCGGTCTGCATTTCGCCCTCTATGAGCCCTCGCTTGCGAAGCCCACAGGACTTCAGCTCTGTAATTAGAGCTAGCCCTGTTTCAGCAGGCTTACAATAGCCTAAAGAGCTGTCCGGGCGGATTGCATTTTGAATTCATTAGCATGTCATATTCTAGCCCTCAGTCTGTCTCGGCTTCTAAAGCCTACACTGTACCACTAAACTTATCGCATATGGTGGATGGTGTTCAAAAACGCAAAATGACATGGATTCTAACGCTGCAGGGCATAATGTCTTAAGTGTAGGCTAGAGTTCAAGAAGTATATATGAGCTTATAGAAAGAGCGAGAATGAGAGAGAGAGAGGGAGAGGGAGAGATAGGGTCAAGGATAGGGCACCCACAGGCCTATACTTTCCGCGTGTCTGTCACGCCTGGCCAGCATCACTGACACTCTGACACTCAATTAATAAAAAAATGAAGAATGTCTTACAAGAGCTGCCTCTGGCGTGAGACACTAATATCTAGCAAAGAGAAAAAAAGACCCTAGAATGCATGAGGGAGTAGAGCTAGTAATAATTCTCCAAACCCGATGGGACCTGGCTATTTACTGTGGGTTTTGCTGGGTTTGAGCAAGTTCAGACATCATTTCTCAAATATTTGATGAGCTCGGGTCCAAATTTCACATTTCACAAAGTCTATCTGCCACCTTAAACAGATTTTGGCCTGCACCAGCCCTCGCTTTAGTTTTTCTCCCTACTTCATTCTTCCTTCTTTTATTACCCTAAACAAATTTTAGTCTGGCACATTGCAGTCACTCCATAAGTCCATGAAACCAGCATAAAAAAATAATGTGCGTTTATCCAGACAAAAAACTTCTGGGATGATTTTCAAATGCATTGATTAATGAATACATTTGCTAGAGTTTAAATCAGGGCTCCGAACTGAACCAAACGGAAACTGGATATTGACCTTCTCTGTTCTGGAACAGAAACATTAGTGTGAAATCTCTGTTAGAACTTATTAACCTTATTAATCTATTCTTTTTAATGAACATCACATTTCATACATTGTCTTCATTTAATGTATACTTTCACATGTGCTGTAAAGCTCAGTCTGTATGGTTGCATGGCTTCAGTTCAGGGATATAGAAACAAGACAAATTCAACTTACTGTAACATTTTCTGCACACAAAATTTCACTGTGTTAAAATTTGCATTAGGCAAATAACCAGGCATGTTTGTTGTTGCGCTGCACTCAGGAGAATGAGAGAAAAACAGCTTAGCTAGCTATCCCACAGAGATGGGCTCTCCGTCTAACTGGCTAATTTTGTAGCCAAATACATAAACACAAAAAATAGTACTGCATTACCAGATAATTAAAACCTACTGTCAAATACATATGTGTGCAATAATTTTGGTTTACTTTACTTCACAGCCCCAGAGAGATCAATTTAAGCAAGCACAGCCTACTTAAGTAATAATGCACAAAAATATGCAGTTTTCCTGTAACTCTACAGTGGCATTTAATAGTTTTCTGAGCCTTATAAGATATTACACCTTTTTGTTCTGAGAAATGTGCATCTTGACATGGTTTCGTCAAAGCTGACTTCTCTTTCTGGGGACCACAAAGCCTGTTGCAGAGAAAATTCACTCTGCTGTCATGGACTCAGCTGCACTTACCACATAGGAGCACTCTGTAGTTCTACAGTTACAGACTGTAGTCCATCTGTTTCTTTGTATACTTTATCACTCCGTTCTTCAATGGTAAGGATGCCCACAGGACCACCAGAGAGTAGGTATTATTTGGGTGGTAGATTATTCTCAGCACTGCAGTGACACTGACATGGTGGAGGTATGTTAGTGTATTGTGCTGGTCTGAGTGGATCAGACACAGCAGTGCTACTGGAGACACCTCAGTGTCACTACTGGACTGAGAATAGTCCACCTTCCAAAAGTTTCCAGCCAACATTGTCTTGACCACTGATGAAGGACTAGAGGACGACCTATGCAAAGCACGTAGCAACAGATGAGCTACTGTCTCTGATTTTACATCTACAAGGTGGACCAACAAGGTAGGTGTGTCTAATAAAGTGAACAGTGAGTGGACATAGCGTTTAAAAACTCCAGCAGCACTGCTGTGTCTGATCCAATAACACCAGCACAACACACACTAACACACAACCACCATATCAGTGATCCACTACACAAAAATTTCTGCTCTGTGGGGGTCCTGATCATTAAAGAACAGGGTAAAAGGGGGCTAACAAAGTATGCTGAGAAACAGATGGACTAATTGTAACAACAAAGTGCACCTATATGGAAGGTCAAGCTGATAAAAAGGACAGAGTGTAAATACAAAGAGGTGTTCCTAATAAAGTGCTTAGTGACTGTATTATATTAGGCCTACATACAACCAACATAAAAGGAACAGAATTAACATTTTCCTCATTTTGTACTAACCTTTATGCTGGAAAGATTCAATTATTGGTTCTTAGAGCAAACTCACTATTTATCCCATTTCTGAGTCCTAGCTTACATTTTGAATCGCTGTTTAGGCTATTAGGCTTTTTTAATTATCATTTTGCTCACTGATAATTTGATGAGAGCTGTCATGTTGCTCAGTAGCAAATTAAATTCACTTTGTAGTTCTGTGGATCAGGTTGGACTCAGACAGAATGATCTTAGACTAAATTTGGATTCAAACCAATGGTCTATGCACCATTAAAGTGCGAGTGAGTGAATGTGTACTCTGTAGTTACATGTGCTTTCGTTTCATACAGGTTTGTGTTTGTGCATATGTATGAGAGCAGCGTTCATTATTCCAGTACACAGTGCTTTCCATACCTGAAGGCCTCGATGATGTAAGAGGTGACAGCAGCCCCGCCCTCATGAGCATTGGGTTGCCAGGTTAAGGTCACACTGTTCCGGGTCACATCTGTCACAACAGGCTTCTGGGGTGGACCAGGCAGCTGGTAGGGCTCTGAGACAGGAGCTAGAGCCATGCCACCACTATCTGTAACACATTCACGTAGAACAGAATATTAGTCTATAAGAGCATCCCTTGAACTGCATGGAGATAAATTAAACTCTTGATTTCCCAGAATTGGTCTAGTCTTCTATTAGACCACTATGGCTTTAATTTATGCTGAAAGCCTTCTTTTTTTGTACCAGTCAGTCACCACAAACAAAGGTAGTTCTATTTCCCATTCAAAAAACTGACACTGACAACGTTTATGTGACAGGACTCAACATTTAACACATTACCAAGCGAGCAACAAGGTCATGAAGCTCTATAAAAGCCTTAGCTATTTAAACGTGTGTTTAAGTTCGCATCTTTACCTTTCACAGTAAGTACTCCACTCCAACTTGTCTCCCCACTAGAGCTGGAGGCGACGCAGGTGTAGACCCCTGAATCCGTTTCCTAGCAACAGTAAAACCAAGGTCAGTGTTCGTATGGACATACTACAGCATAAAGCCTGCAGACACTCCAGGACTGAGATAAATCTCCACTCCTTAGTCCTTAACTTCCATCACCCTCCACTTATGCTACTGAACCACATACCACACATAGCTTCTGTGAACTATGAAGCTTATTGGACGAATGTTCTCTCCCAGTTTGGGCATCAAAAACATCTCCAACTGTATAAATACTGTATGGAATTCTTTGTCAATATATATATATACACACACACACAATATCATCACCAGTGTCATCACAATATCATCACCAGTGTATATATCAGTTGGTTTATAATATCAGAATATCAAGGTCTAGCACTTTCGTCTGTGAAAATCCTAATAAAGCACTGATATGTATTGGTTTCATTTAAATTTTAATAAATACACACTTCTTTTGTGAAGAATAAAATACTTTACAGAGATTGATGAGCTGACAGTCTTTTAAAAAAACAGCTACTTAACAGAAGCCAACAAAATTGCTAATAATTGTTTAAAGTTCTATTCCCAGCACTACAATAATTACATAATATTTTTCTACTTTCCGCTTTCTCCTGTTGAAGAAATGCAACAACTAAGAACTGACAATCACAGTGGTTAGTAAAAGATTTTTTAATACAGTTGTTTAACTTTTAATCAACTGATATTATCGGTTCTCAAAGACAAAGATTTCATATTTCATTGGTTCTCACTCACAAAGATTTCATATTATCGGTTCTCAATCACAAAGATTTCATATTGCTCAAATTCGAATATGAAAATCATTGTAAATATGAAATATCAGATTAATATCAGACTTTGACACGTACATAAAAATCTCTGTAATGTAAAATCTTATACAAAAGACCCTGCCAAGAAAGGATGAATTGTAACTGAGGTTCAATGGTATCCTTTGAACACTTTTCAGTAAGGAGGGGTTGCAGCATGTGTGTTCAAAAAGAAAAGAGATGCAAAGGAAGCCAGAGAGACAGGGGATGGCGGGGTAAGACATGGAGGGCGACAGCCATTAAATTTTTACTCTCTGGCTGAGGGACAAGATCAGGGTTATTGTGTACAGCAATGGAAGATGTTGTATGGTTTTTCTCCACAGTGTGACTAAGATCTAATAGTTGTGACAGCTCAGAGGCACCACTCAAAGCTCTGAGGTCACACACATACACAGACAGACACATATAGAGATATGGCTGCACATGGGCCTACGCACATGACCCCGTATTACCAGCCAGTCAGTTTTATTGTTGTAGAATTCTTTCCTGCCTTATGACCTGTGCATTTAGACTACTATGCTCAATTAAACACTGTGTTGCTACAGATTTCCAGGTTTTATTTCAGTATCCTTTCACAATGTGGAGGCAGAGCAGTGTATTTTATTTTTGAGTCTCCCGGGAAGCAATGAGTGAGAGAATAGCAGAAAGAGAGAGAGAGAGAGAGGGAGAGAAACAGAGAGAGACTGACCTCTGTGACTCAAACTTTTTGGACTTTTACAACAGTTAACTTTCCTGGGTAGACCTCAGCCTTGGTGGCTGTTGACTCGTAGAGAACTGAGGGTATCTGTTGATTACTCATGCAAAAAAACGCATGAGTGAAGAGGCAAGAGGGAGCCGAATATTCACATCCTCCTTTTATCTTTTCCCCCAATGCTCTCTTCTGTTTCCAGTTTAGGGATCTACTCCTCTCTGTTAATCTTACTCAATCACGCTCTTTCTCACTCTGCTCTTTTGGAACTGTACATTAAAGAATGTCTCTGGTGATTCGCTCAGTATTTATTTTTCGGGCCAGTGTGTCTATTTTTTTCTCCTTTTGTCCAGGGGGATAGGATGATTATTGGTTTTAATAATACTACAGTATGATATATGCTATTACAGTATCTCCTGGCATAATAAGCCCAACACCAATCATAAACGTTATTGATAACCATCTTTTTAAAATATCTGGGTGGTGCTAAATAGCCTACAGCTACAATCTCTCTGCAAAGCACAAGCCAAGGCAATGCATTTATGTGTAGTTATAATCTGTAAACAGCAGAAGCATTACTGGTAATTTCAAATATATTTAAACTGTAGTTGATGTCATATTAAGAAATACAAGAGGTTCAGTACAAAGTTAATCAATATAATACCTTCAGCTCATTTTTATATGGTGCATGAGATATACTATAAAAATAAATGTGCCAATGGGGACCACTGAATGCCTTAGAACCACTTTTTGTTCTCTTAAAAAAATTCTGTACATGGTTTTGTATTTTGAAAATGAAATGTGAAAGTGTAAAGAACCTTTCTAAAGTTTTAAGAACCTCCACAACAATGAAAGATTTTCCAAGAACTGTATGTCCAAATCAAGAATAATTAGGAAGAGTACATGTTTTGAAGAGTATATGTTTTAGGAAAGGGGTCCACTCCAAGAACAACCTTTAACAGTTGAAAACACAAATACACATATAGTATCTCACAGTCTGACTAACAGAAATACACTTATAGGGACACCTTGTTAAACTTTTTATTTAAAGTTGTGTTTGTTGGTGTTTGTCTGGTTGGTGTACTTTGGCCCCTAAAGAACATTTTACAAACTTACAAATAATCTCCTAAGGACATTAAGAAAACCACAAGAAAACCAACCTATATATGTCTGTGTATGCTACCTCTGAAAGCAGCCCCTGAATTACCCTAGGCCATTTTCTTTTAATGTCTATAGTACAATCAACAACACAAGCAAAACAAACTGGCCAGCGAAACGCTATCGTTAGCTAACTGACCTGCTTTTCCCTTGTAAGAGGCAATGTCTACTTTTACTGCATGTAATGTGTTCTCTGCACACATGACACATATGTAACACACATGTACAGGCTTAATTGGAGTTTTTGAGGTGGATTCTTCAGCCATGCTAACTTACGTTATGTCCTTTGGTTAACAACAAGCTTGTTGTCCAGCGCACCATATCACAAGATGTAAGACTTGGTTTAGAAATTTCATGCTTAGTTTGTTCCCACCCTAATAAGTCTATTTTCCCCCACTCAAATTTAGCCTTAAAATTCTCATGGTTGTCCCCCTAGACATTCTTGTTACAAGATCCCATCTGGCCCTGCAGGACTAAGACATAAACAAGTATATAAACTATATCATGTACAAGAATTTCAGGACCATATAAAGAAAAAAAAAACGTAGCAGTAGTTGCAGAATAGGGTCTGCTTTGTTTGCTGATTGAAGCATGTTTGGTTGTGTACTTTCTAAAGACAAGATGGTGATCAGAGAAACCTTTAATCAGTTCCTCATTAGTGACCATTGACTACAACGCAGGGTTGCTGAGAGAACAGTAGCTCATAAAGATTACATGACCCCTCTCTCTGCTTCTCTCTGCCTCGCTCTTACTCTGTAGAGCCAAACGAGCATTTAATTAAAAGCTGAGCGATCGTTAATCTTTCCAGTCCGCAATCAATTAACCCATCATCCTTGGTCATTGTGGTGTGTACCCCTCAGGTAAAAAACACACACACACCCTGATGAATGGATATCAAAAACTACTTCTCAACCAGACAACAGTACATACATGCTCATTACTGTCATAATCAGCAGCTTTACTGTTGCGCACATCTCCTGTATAACAGCTAGGGTCACCCATAAACACATTAAGCACACACTAATAGCGGCTCTACAAATGAGATACTTCTGTTTGCTGTCAATTTAAACACCCCTCACCTGACCCTGTCATCTACTGGAGAGCTGTACGCCACATATACATGTTGTGTATCTTTCTGTACCTTCTGTTGTTTTGTGAGATAAATGAAAATGCTTTATCAACAAAAAACTGGATGTGTCCAACCAGAAGCAGTCCAACAGCATATGGCAACTGTCAGATGAGACACCTATGAAACACAATGTGCTGAAGGAAATGTGAAATAACCCATATGCTAATGTCTCTAGGGCCTTAGTATTTAACAAAGCATGCATATAACACAAAGCACCCCCCCACACACCCCCCACCATTCAGTACCTGTAGGGCTGCGATTTGTAAAGTGCCATTGTCCATTAGGTTGATGCGGTCATCATTTCCTAGAATCCTCTGCCCATCTCGCTCCCACTGGATGCTTGGTAAAGGGTTGCCCATCACATAGCACTGCAATTGAGCAGTGGCTCCAGGGGCGAGCGTCTGATTGGCTGGGCCTTGCCGAATGATGGGCGGGATCCGATCAGATGGAGCTGAATTCAAAGAAATGAGAAGGCTAATCAGATTATATACAATTAATGCATGTCCCATGTGCAAAAGTTTGTACACACCCCTTTCAGCTACTTTAAAGTGCAGCTATTGCTGACACAGGCGTTGAATTGCAAAGGCAGCGTGTATAATCTCCATAGGAAAGCACTGCCAATAGAATGGGATGCTCTGGAGCAGCCTCACATGAGCCTAAGGTCATCATGCCCAGTGGCCAGTGTCAGGTAGAGGGGTGTAAAGCCCTCCTGCATTAAGCTGTGGAGCAATGGAACTGCGTTCTCTGGAGTGATGGAGCATCACTGAATACCGTTGGTATGAGTTGGATCAAGAAGTAAATCACCAAATATCAGTACCTGACCTCACTACTAATGCTCTTGTGGCTAAATGCAATCAAACCCTCACGGCAATATTCCAACATCTAAAGTAAAGCCCTCCTAGAACAATAGAAGCAAAAAGGTAAAAAGCTCCTTATTAAAACCCTTGATCTTGGAAGAGACATTGAATGAGCTGGAGTCTACAAACCTTTGGACACATTAATACATAAGACATAAACTGCAATAGCAGACTTGACTGGCATGTTACTGATGCAAATGCAAGAAAACATTTGTTTAACTAAATACATTAATTTTATTCTAGCTAGCCTCTCCACAGTCACAATTTATGGGTAAAAATAAAGTAGCACTAAGCAGGACAGTAAAACCCTTAATGTGTTTAAGCCCATTAGATCACTGCTATAGATTTTAGACTGGTACAATGTGATGGAGCTCAAAGGAATTGTGATCGTTAGTGTCAAGCAGTGACTTCCGTTTGTTATTGTACTGCAAAAGGCAGGATACATGAGCATGCTCTATCTGCATAGAGCTGTGTCATAATACTCATATTGGCTTTTAAGATGAATTATGAGTTTGATCACAAACGGTGCTCTAGTGCAGTACTACAGGGGCCTGAGGCATTAGATACACAGAGTCAGCAGGTCTTCACTACAAAAGCTTGCTTAGATGTGTTAGGCTTTATTTTTCAGACAGCAGTGTGAAGGTTCAGCATTTCAGACTCTAAATAAATTATTTACTCTTTGTTTATCAAGCACCACAAACCGGACCCTCGGTTGACCTAAGTGCATTAATAAATAATTGACTCATCAGTTACTTCAATATTTAGCATGCCGTCCTCCTCAACAGAAGATGGAGAATAAGAAATCTGAACTGCATGTTTACAATGTACACACTCACTCTTAATGTGAATGAAATGTGCAGTAAGATGTTATGTAGACAAGACAACATACAAGAGGTGTTATTGTGTAGTCTCTAACATGCCCAAATAAGCAACTCTGGGTCTTAGCCCTTTGTCTTTTGGTCTTTGGGAGAAACAAATGGCATTTTCACCTAAATCACAGCCTTTTACATTCTACTCTGTTTACATCCTTCCTCCTACATTGCATTGCATTCAACATCTTAAGCTTCACTTCGTCAACTTGTCCCTGTGAAGCAGCAGTATTCTTTATCTTTTATCCTTGAACTCTATCAAACCAAGTATCTGTCAGCAAGAATTTGACCCCCTTTAACTTAAATCTGCTGCCAGAGAAGTTACGGTGCATGCATGTCCAAACTGTGCATTGTAAAATAGGAGATTTCTGTGTGCTGCTGTGTTTTCTATCACTGTATAAAAGATGCATGAGCCTTTCTTTATTAGCTTGATTTTTTCTAAGTGACCGTGTGACCTCATTCAGTGAGCAGTTCGTATTGGTAAGCGTTTATTTTTGTTTTGTTTAATCACAGTAACGGTAAAGTGCAACTAATGTGTGACATATTCCAATTCATACTGTTTCTTGTTCAAAAAGGTAGTTTGAGAAGCAAATTCATTAAAAATTGGAGAATTTTTAGCTTTGTTACATCACGTTCTTTACATGTCACATAAATGCAGCAACAGCACTGAGACATCTCATGGTTAACGGAGAAGAGCAGATGGCAGAAATAGACGCATTTTGGCTTTGGCTTTAAAGGGTTAATTAGTAACCAAGACACTTTAGAGAGCTTCATAAAGCACCTTAGTCATATGAGAGACTATTTGCTGAGAAAATGTTATCATAAGCTTGCTGTTTTGATTCAGCTATCCCCCTCTAGGAGAGAGAGAGAGAGAGAGAGAGAGAGAGAGAGAGAGAGAGAGAGAGAGAGAGAGAGTCTAGTTAATGCTGGTCCTCTGACACAGTATTGTATTGCTGCTGCAGCACTGAAAGATACACACACAGCTGGTCAATGCTGCTGTTCTGGCACAGAGAGGTGTGTTTTGAGCTGCCACTGCGGCACTAAAAGCTGTGCGTGTGCATGCATGTGCACACACACTTACACCCATGATGTATAAACAGTTTATCGGTCAGTGGGGAGCAGGAGGGAGTGGGCATATGTTGCTGGGTTATTTGCATAGTGCGACGGCGGCTTGTCCTTTTTGATTATGTCTCCCCTGCCTCCTGCTGCTCGCGAGTTCTGGGACGCAGAAATTTTAATTTGGGACGGCTTTGAAGAGTTTCTAATTTATTTTGGTTCAGGGAAACGAGCCGCACCGGGCAAAGCGGCAGTTTGTTCAAACACAAATGAAATATTGCTCAAACGGCTGTGATAAGGTCTTGCACAAATAATGCAATTACATTTATGGACCTGGAAGCTTAATGTTATTAGACCGATATTAAAATATCAATCCACTGTTAGTGTCTCTGAGGAAGGGGTAAAGGATGATGTATGTGGGGGTGTCTGTGTGACCTCAACACACACATACAAACACACTGTAATCAAAAAGCAAAGCGAAACTAGGTTGGTGCTTTTACTCACCATCCTCCACTTCCAGCAGGGCTTTGGTGAGAATGCTCCCCGCTACACTGATGGCCTGGCAGATATAATACCCAGAGTCCTCGCTGTGCACGTCGCTGATGGTCAGCTCCCCGCTCAGTGACACAGAAAAGCGGCCTGACTGTGCTGGTGGCTGACTGGGAAACAACAGGATCTGCACAGACATACCAACACATCACGCAATAATTATTAAACCATCATTATAAAACAGGCTGGTTCTAAAATCTGATTGACTGGGGCACATTTGAAGCCATTATAATAACTGATACGCACATAGCCTGTACACATCAACTGAATTTTGTATTAATGTTGTTAAAAATATATGCTGTAATTCATGAAATATTCTTTGAATGGTGTACTGCTTGGCAACCATAGCCTACTGTTGCTTGACAGATGACTTATTTGTGATCATTATTAACAATAAATTACATTATTTATTGAACATGGTGGTTTATTTGTGCTATTATTTTATAACTGTATTACGTTGCTTGATGTTGACAGATGGCCCTCTATGGATGCTACGGAGACGCTTGCCTTTAACTCAACCTAAACCTAACCTTGGAGCTACTCCGAACCTATTGAGAATCATAAAATAATAAATTATTATCTGTCGAGTGTCTATAGCGGGCTATGCAAGTAAACCTTATATTGTTGTTATAGAAAACAGCAACAAAATACAATATGATAAAATGTTCTGTGATGTGATCATAATGTGGGAAATTAAAATCTTTGATTTGTGCAGATTTTTTTGCATTCTCACATTATGAGATCACATAGTATCGAATTAATGTAATATGCAATTCTACTAACCAGGGTTTATCTACATGTTCTTTTGACATTTATGCATACAGGTTAATCACATTGTACATATATTCTAAACACACTGCACATGTTGTTCTATTCATTTAATTACTAATGCACACCATAAAAAAGAATCAATGCACTATACCATAAACAAACATTATCAGCACCAGCTCTTTGCATTAATCAAACAAGACCAGATATTTCACCTACACTGCTAACACTGTCAACAAATTAGAAAAGACATGAGATCAGATAGACATCTGGGAGATCCTAGCCAGACTGATATGAGATTTGATTTTACCCCATAAAAGATATAAGCAGTGAGGTATAAATAGGATACAGAACATGGCAGTTAATGGTTGATTTGCATTTTCAAATACATTACAACAATGAGTGCTATAGTTGTCGTTTGGGCATACAGGCTATTCAGGATGACTACTAAGATTTATGTACACACATAAAAGAACAAAGGCAGAGATATCTGGTGGCTGAGGGTGTATGTGTGTGTGTGTGTGGAGTGTCAGAGAGACAGGGGTCACACACAAAAGCCTGAGGATAAGAAGTCTTCCTCATGCACGAGGCAGCAACACTGACAGCTGCCCCATTGTCTGAGCTGGCCAGGGGGAGGAGTGCATATGTGTGTATGTATGTGTGTGTGTTACTGTTTCGTTTTTGGGGATTATCCACTGACCCCCTCACCCTAGCCCCTCTGGCCCTGACCACGGTCACTCTAAACCCCTTTGATTCGGTCTCTATATCTGTTGCCCCTTATGTGAGCTCACAGACACACACTCACACACACACACTCACACAGACCCTGCAGAAACAAACCCAGAGAACAAGATTATTCAGAAAGAAGTTCATGACCTGTAGCCACGTAGATATGCCATCCTTACCACAGGCTTGTGACACACTGAGCTTAAAAAAAGAAAAAGACGAAAGTATACAAAGAAGGACTGGTTTCTTCCTCCAAGTGCTTTGGACCGCATTGTTTCTTTACTCCCTCTGTCATAATCTATAAATAGCGATGACTGAGCTTTATCTAACATGGCCCTGGCAATGCTCTTAGCCCTCTGAGACGTGAAAAGTTTGTGCCTCAGCTTCTGCACACTGCACATTAGGGCTGCTATTTTGCACAACACTGTTCAAAAGTTTGGAACCACCTGTCATATTAATAACTGCTATCATTTATTTAAAGCCTTATTGGAGCTGGATTATTTTTTTTACTTGGGGAGGTACAATAACCTGAGTGACTACAAATAAGATCCATAATTTTAATCAAATAAAAAAAAAAAAATGGCCATGTCTGTTGTTTTTACAAGTCTGATAAGTAGTGAATGCAGAACTAATTACAACATTGCAATTGGTTACAGGGTTTGTATATTGTCTGTTGATTGTATATTGGTATATTGCTGTAGATCTGTATATTGCAGCTACACACTCTCATATGCAAATGTTGTTCAACACAAAAATGCATGCTGCTGTGTTGTGATGTTTGGCAAATCTAAATAAACATATTCTGAATCTAGAAGCAATGACAGACACTGTGGCTTTGTTCATGTGCTGGCTCTTACCTGGCTCCCCTCTTTTTGCCAGAACACAGCAGGTGGAGGATTCCCTTTAGTGCCACAGAGGAAGGTTACGGTGCGCCCTGGTGCTGAGATCTGGTCCCGGGGACGAATCACAATCTGAGGAGGTACTGAGGATAGAAGAAAAATCACACATTAGATGTTTAAGGTCTTGTACATCTGAAGAATTCTAATTCTGTGCAAAGTTAAGAGTCTAGAATGATTTATTCTGCAAATCTGCAAGCGTGCATACTCTTGGCATGCAGTAAAGCTGTCATGGGTGATACTGAGCATGGTCGCCAGGCTTTGGGGACACCAGCACACTGGAGCATGATGGAGTCTGTTTGGAGTGTTCACACCACACACACACACATTTCAAACCTATCTGGATGTTCTTGTTTAGACAGTGTGATTTACCAACACTGACACCAAACCCATAAACTGACTGGGAGACCACCACAGGCACAACCAAAGCCACCCATAACACAAAGCAAAGATGGGTTTTCTCACATATATGAGCATGTTTTGACATTCACTGGGGCACATGCTTAAACGAAACCCACTCCATTGTTTGATGTGTGCCGATTTAGAGGTATTCATCGCTGGCATTTTACTGTGGCTTATTTTGACCGAAAGGTCAGAAATGGCTTTGGAGAGTGTAATTATGACAGGTTTCTTCTCATCTGCTCTCATGCAGGCTCTTCAGAACACATGGCAGCACAGTGGATGCACTTTCTGAAGAGCACTTCTTTACTGGCATTGTGTGGGCCGCAAGCTCTGTGAGTGTGTGTATAACAAACCTTCCACTGCTGAGAGACTGTGGGATGCAGGCCTGTGGGACTGAACAAAACCAGTCCAGATTGTGTTCAGCGCTGGGGATCCTCTTTCCGAGAGCAGATTTTTGTCTGCTAATGGGGACTTGGACTCAAAAAATGATGAAGATCCCCACAGGTTTGGGCATAGACCAATGAAGTTAATTACTAGGAATAGTTTTGCTTTCTTGTCTCTCTGCGTGTCTGCATGATCTCTGCATAGCCTTGTAGGCTAACTTTGTTCTTGTAACGGTTTGGTAGTAGACTAAAGCCTACTAGGCTTCTAGTACTAGACTTCTAGTATTGCAGCCCATTACTGTTATTAGGCTATTAGCCTGAACTACATTGAAGAAAAGTTTTAAGTAATTTAATGTAACCTTAACTTCAAAATCTTTCAAACCTACATTCATATTTTCACAAGGGCTCATGCATGGCAGTCTACAGCACGACTTTATCTATTTCAGTCTAGCCTCAATAAAATGTGTTGCCTTGCACTACTATAGAATGTTGTGCCACAGACAACACTATAGGAGGTACAAGAAATTTACTAGAAAAAGAAAAAAAAAACAGATTGTAAGCCAAATAATATTTACTTTAATGTATCTTAAAGCCACAGCCTGTTTTTTGACATTTAAATAGGTCTTGGCAATATGACGATATTTAACATTCAGAGGGGTGAATGTGCTTTTTTGCGGACAGTGGGGCCTTTTTGTAATTGTTCTCTACAGGAGAGATGTGTTTTGTGAGTTGCTTTCGCTGTCTTTTATGCAGGGAGTTCCATGAAAAACTGGAAGTAGTCAAATAGCCTACATCACAAACAGATCAAAAAGAAAATTGATCTTGAGTGACAACTGCAGTCACTGAGGACCCTGACCTATTTGATTTCACACATTAAAATCAGCTCAACATAAATAACAGTAGCTTTTTTTAGTGTAGCATGTTTTTACCAGCAGGATTACACTTGCTAGTTAATAGCAAATCACTTTCTAAAAAGGCAAGTGACAGATCTGTGTGCTTGTAAATATCAAAACAATAGCTAGCCAGCACAGCTAAGCAACGGTTACAACACTACTGTCGCTTAGCAACAGGAAGAGGTCCAGCTAGAATCAATGTTAAAAAATGCATTGTGCAACGAAAAAAAAAAATACTTGCTTGTGGTAAATTACATCACAATATGCTTTTTTCATTACTTTCTGGATTTCGTTAGCACCTCAAGAACACTGATCAACTGCATGTTTCATGACAAAGATCATAATCTGTGCTGTTTAATTGGATTTATTGCAGTTTGTGAAACCTAGTTTTGTGCCACCCCAATTCCAACTTAGAAAACCTCCGAAAAGTTAAGTATTGCAATACTTACTCTGTGTCATGAAAATGTCTTAAAGTATCGTAATGCTATATTTTTACGATATCGCCCACCCCATTTTTCATTCATTTAAATCATTCAACTTGATGACCATTGCATGCTTGATGGCTATGGATATATTCAAGGCTCCCAGCTAAAAGACAACAATTTGTAGTGGATTTAGGTCTTTTAAGATGTCTCAACTTTCTTGGTCTCTCTCCCTCACCCTGCTTCCTCACTTCCTCTCTCTACCTCTCTCTGCAGTTGCGGCTTGGCCCTTGCCCTCAGTGCAAGCGTGATCGATGGCTCTCTCTGATGGCTGTTAATCTGCAGCTCTTATCTTGCCTGCAGGCCTCTGTACCCAGCGCCACTGATCCATGCCTCATGTGGGCAAGGACCCCCACGCAAGCCTGGTTCCTTCGGCTAGACAGAGGGATTTATAGAGTTTCTGCAAAGGGAGAGGAAAATAACCTCTAGGCTTCAGAGATGTCCCTCAGCAGGAACTGGCGGGGGGGGGATATTGATCAAAACCCAAAGCTATTGCCCTTTAGCACAGGCCTGTGGATGGGTGATGCTGCCACCTTTAACCTTCAATGGCTAATTGATTTCTCCTAACCGCTCCATGGTTCTTTTCTCTCTTTCACTCATGGCAAGAGTGAGCCGCTCACTCTGACACCTCACATTAATACCGGAGCAAGGTGTCTCCTTTAGCTCACTTCACATTTTAAGGCAATCAATCAGGTCAACTAGCTCTGGGGCATCAACACCTAGACTGTAATGCATCTAATGAACTGCATACTTGTCTCTCTCCCTGTTTTCTCCTTGTCTTTAACATGTCTTACCCATATATTCTCTCTCTCTCTCTCTCTCTCTCTCTCTCTCTCTCTCTCTCTCTCTCTCTCTCTCTCTCTCTCTCTCTCTCTCTCTCTCTCTCTCTCTCTCTCTCAGCCAACAGCTGCTTCATTGCTGCCTCCATGGCTGAACAGTAAATACACAAATACACAACAAACAAAGGCTGCTGCAGGCACAGCTTGCAGGCGTGAAGCTTGCTAGATCGGAACGAAGCCCAGGAGAGAGGCGGGACATGGGGTTCAGGGGGCGCTGTCCAGGGGTTAAGCAGAGCCCCTAACCCTGACCCTGGGGTCAAATCCAAAACATGTCCCTTGTCTCCACAATTTGCTCCAAGCAAGCAGGGAATGTTATGATTTCCATTTCTACAGCTTTCAATAACCATCTCCAGACGGGTCCATATCGATCCCATAACCTTCTCTCAGCTGGGCTGATGCAACGGTAGAAATATTTATGAAACACAGCGTAACACTGTATCTTATGCAATACTTCTAAAAGTTATAAAAAAAATTCTGAGCCAGGAACCACAGCGACATCAGGGTTTGCTGTGACCCACATCCGTGTGAACTTCATGAAAACTTGCATCCCACTGCCAGGAGAAAACCGTGTCAATTATGTAGCAGGAAATGTTATTTATTTTCATCTAAGAGCACCCTCTAGCACAAGGGGCTTCGCTTTCAAAATGGGCCTAAGAGCCAGATTTGAAAGCCACAGAAAAAAATGCCTGTGGCTATGATAAATAATTAGCAGTTAATGGAGATGGCAGTAGGCTTTAGAAGTGGAAGAGGGTGGTTGCATGTAGACTAACATGGAATGACAAGAAGAAGACTTCAGGGAAGAATTTCAGATCTACACAATGTATCTTTTAACAACCGAACCTAGCAATATATAATCAGATAAAACCAGTTTTTCTGATATTTGGACATAGCTAAAAGCATGCAGGGTACAGGACTGCGGGGACAATCTTGATATGGCAATATATTATGAATAAATTCCTGGTGATACCTGAATGGACGTACGCATCAGTATTTATAAATCTGCTTTAACACAGGAAACATATGAACGAGAAAAAACTGCTTCTTTTGCTACATAAATAAAATGACAATCTGAAACAAACAAAGCTAAGTGAATCCAAAGGAAAATAACTTAACAGAGAAGATGGTGGGCTGAATAACTTGAAAAATGGAATAAAATGAATAACTTGTACTTGATAGCCATTAAGCAAGTTGTTTTTAGCACAAAACATTTATTTAACAGGAAAATTACATAGAAGCTTGAAGTAAATATAAAAACAAAAACTTCAGTATTTAGTGTGTCTACCTTTTGTTTATTATGGCTTCCTTTCTTTTGGGAGACTTGCTTTCAATTTTTCAAACAAATCTGCAGTTTTAGTTTTAGTCTTAGAAGTTGGTTGAGTTTTCTGCTTCTCACAATCCAAGTAATCACAAATATATTCAGTGATGCTGAGGTCTGGACTCTGAGGTGTTTGATTCCCAAATTTTCATCTTTTTTCGTCTGTTTCTTTTTCTCAGTAACAGCTTTTTGACAGCTACACTTCTCTTCAGACTCATAGTGTTGAGTTCTCTTGGATGAACAGAAAAACCTGTGGATTTATTCAGATCTAAAGCTAGAACAGAGCTTAAAACTGGCTGCTTTGACTGGAAATTCAAGAAACAAATGGTGGTCTCTAATTTTGCACAGTACTGTATGTCTGGTGTTTTGTACTGTGTAATGTTGTATCACACTCTGACACTTCTATCGTTATATGTGCTGCCAATACCAAACCCTAGGAGAGCATGCACATGTCAATACAAGATAATATATAAGAACCAGATTTATTTAATTGTTGCTTATAAAACACCTGAATGAACATGCTGCAACATACAGAACAATTCAACCCAAACTAATAAATCCAAGACTTCACAATGGCATTTTGAAGGTGAAAGCAGATGGCATTATGGGATTTTTTCACTGTCTGGCTGGTCTGAGACAGGTCAGCAGTGTCGGAACCTCCACCCCCACAGACATACACGCACACACTATGCTGACACATGGAGTTCAGGGCTTTCATTCTCAGCCTCAGACATGCTGGAGTCTTCAAATAGCCCTCAGCCTGCTCGCTTTTCTTTTCAAAACAGTCTAAAACACACATGCTGTGTCTACATTTTCACTCCCCCTCAGATAGTGAACAGTTAGCAGCCTTAATACACAGACAATTCCAGCTCTCACCGCCACACATCCAAAAAATATCTGATCATAGAACCTTCACTGCTGTCTGCCATCTCTATACACACACACACTCACAGCAAAATCATCAGATCACAAGCAGCAAGTAACACACCACTGCCAGTCTGCTGAGTTGAACCCCCAGGGGGGCTAGCCTGACAGGCACTTGTCACACTCAAACAGCCATGCAGACAGACATGGTGAAGAGTCATGCTTCACTAACCACCACTGCAATTAAAATCCCTACATGCAATTAACACAAACTCTAGACGGTAACCAACATTAAACGCTCTGCAGCAAGACAATACATATGTTTACCCCTCCCAAACAATCAGCCATTGACCGCACACACTCGTAACTACTGTTGTCATGAATAATCACCGAACTCGAATACATGATTAAAATAAAACATTCCATTAAAACTTAGCTTCTTGATGAACTGGCAGCTTGCACGATAATAATGCATATGGTAGGCAAATATGATAATTTTGGTCCTGTCAATCATAGCCCAGATTTTTGGATAAATTGCATCTGTAACTTAAACGTCTTCTCTTAAACTTGAATCATAAAAATGTCAAAACCCTATAAAAATGTACAGTATTACGTGAGGTTTTATTGATTTTCTCTTTATTTGCTGAGTCTAACATTAAAATATATATATATATATATATATATATATATATATATATATATATATATATATATATATATATATATATATATATGTATATACACACATGCCATTTTCCCCAATGTTAAATTCAGCAAATACACAGCAATTTTGAATTGAGATGTGCAGAAGCAGACTATTTATATTATATTTGCATTATTTGCACTTTGGGACACCAAATATTTGCATATTTCAGTGTGCTTTGTCAATTCACGTCCAGTTGTGTCAGTTTTTGAAATTCAGCTACTTTAATTAATGCCTAGTTCCATCATATCTGGCACAGCAATGTCATCTAACTTTTAGTGCTCTTGCCTAATTTTGGCCTGGCTAGACTACAGTGTCAGGCATTTGAAATGAGCCCTTATTGCAGACTCACTGGCTCCATAATGAGCTCTGGAGGGGGGGTGCAGCTGAGTGCAGCAGGCTTTAGTCTGGTATAAACCACTGTTACACAAGCTTATTTCATCTCTATTGTCCCCCAGCTTACACATGCTAATGAAGAGGCCAGTTAAGGAAATGAGCAGGCCGGATTATTTCCATGACCTGCCACTGAGCGCATGATGAAACAGATCCTTCATCTTTAGAGCTAGGCAGACCGCTTCCGACCCCATTCCTCTATCTCTCTTCCTCTCCCTCTCTTTCTCTCTCTCTCTCTCTTTCTGTGTTGCGCTCAAATTGCCCTTCCTGTTGCTCATCTAAACGACACATACAGATGTAAGGACAGAAAGAGTGAAATTAAAAATCAAAAAGAACCAGGTTTGGTTATGAAAAAAATTATTATCCTACTGAGATTGTTGTCTTTTCTTTTAACTCTGCTTTCCCACAGAAAAAAATATTTTCTCTTTTTGTTTTTTTATGGTATTGCGTGCTTATTTCTTTTCTTTTTTTAATACAAACATTCAGAAGTTTGTTAAGCTTAAGTAAAAGTAACATCCAGGCCTGCCAGCCTTCCAATTGGTCAGAGAAGTCAATACTTTTCGCATCTTAATTTCTGCTTACTAAAAATGAACCCCTTAAACTATACACTTACTATTCAGTTATTAATCTTAATGTTAATTATCCAGTACCTCCTATGAATCCAGTACTTCCTATGAAAGTAATGACTCTGAAACTAATTAATAAGTTATGTAGTGAGACTAAGGAATTTTAGTCTGGACTGACCGATATGTCTTCAGAGTTTAAGAGGTTAAAAAGCCACTTTAAGGTCATGCTCTGAAAAAAGCATTTTGCATGCTCACTTTATTCTATTTATGAAGGTTAGTCAGGGAAAAAGGAATGTAGGTCTGGTCACTCAGCAGAGTCTCAGGGCCAGATCTCAGTGGTTTCTCCAGTTGCCTCTAACAGTCTTTTGGGGCTGAGCAGACAGCACGGTACGAAGGCCTGGACTGCACAATTTGATAACATTCTACTCGTTTCAGCTGGTAGGACTGTACATATCTGACTTCATAATGATTTGACTGATTTACACAGTAATGGAAAACAGAAAATAGACTGAGCTTTGTTGGGGAATTGTTACATGTTAACATAACCCAACAATATTATTTTGGCCCAAAAATGAGCACATAATTTATTGAATATTATTATAATGGGTTGTAACCACTGAATCACCAGTTCAATAATTTAAAAAATGTGGCATAACTTTGCACAGGCCACATTTTATGTTTTATTTTGTTTTATATTAAATATATTAAATTAAAGTTGTGCATTAAAGCATGCAAACGTGTTCTCTGTAGAGGAAGTGCACCTATTTTCACTCAGAAAATCAACAAAACGTAATTTGACCAGGGGCACCTGAACTGCACATGATGTTAAACAACATTCCAACACTTCAAAACATTTCACACAACGCATGCTATTGTAGAATGACATTAGCATGACATAACACTTTAAAATGATTGGAACATCCTCTATGATATTTCAAACTTGCCTGTAATATCCTTAGAATATCATTTATTTTGTAAAATCTAAAATATTATAGATTATCTAGACTACAAATGCTCCAATTCTTAAAACATCTGGTGAAACTCAGTTAATTATCAACAGTTAGGATTATGAAAAAGGTGGGGTTAGGGTTAGGTTTAGGGTTAAGGCTTTAAGTTGAGGCTAAAGTTAGAGTTAACGTTTTGGGATAAGGCAAAATGAATTTAGTGTATTAAGTTGTATTGTTATGTTCTAAGTGTCATCATGCAAACTAGTTGTTAGAATGTAAGTTAAAGGCAAGGTGGCAGTATCTATAATAGACAACCAAAATAGTGATGGACAATATGGTAAACATATAATATTACAATACTTGAAGGCATTTTCATGACACTCAATATGTATCCCAGTATTTAGTTTTTTAAGGTTTGATACGTTGAAACAGACAAAAATACTTTCAAAATCTATGAGTATGATAATTTTTACATTTTACACACTGTGCCGCACTATATCCACTTAAATACGAATTATGCTCTCATTGCAATGAAATGTGCAGTTGGTCATTGTTCATAAAGGACTGACACTATCCACAATATGATTAAAAATGTATATCATGACATAAGTATCATGATAAAGATAAAATATCACCATATAGCCCACCCCTACATCAAAATAACAAAAAACAGGAAAAATATATAACTTGAGAGAACCCTTATTTGTGCCCTGGAATTAACTAGCTGAGAATTTAAGAAGTTTCATTGTTTCACTCACAACCTAGAGAGAGCAGGGCATTGCAATCATCTCCTCACCTCCTCTCCTCATCTCTCTATCGATCTGCTGCTTGCCCCTCTCTCCCTCTCTCCTTTCTACCACCTTATGTTCCTCTCAGTCCCTTAGGAATGCTGAGGGTTGCCCTGCTCTGTGGCAGATTCAGGCCCATTGTAAATCACTTCGGCACCCACAGACAGCGCTTTCATAGGCCATTTCTGCCCTGAGCTCCGAGGCTTTAAATGTCAGAAGCTAAGGGTGTCAGTGCTGCAGAGTAGGTGCTGATTAGTCTGCCGAATTGCCTCATTAATGAACTGAAATATGGGTTGGACTGCAGAGTCTAAAGTCACCACAGTGAGTACAGCGTGGAATGTAATGAAGGCCTGGGCTTTGAACATATTGCGGTTCCCTGCCAGCTAGATGACCATGATACGCAGTGTGGCTCCGCCCCCCAAGGGTCATAACCTTGTCACATCCAATCACAATGGCTCCCCATACACATGCACATACACACACACATGCAGTATGATGAGATGGAATGGTACTTACGAGATGGGCCCACTAGAATGGAGGACAGAATGGAGAGAGAGAAAAAAAACAAAGGGTGAAAGAAAATGAGATGGATGGGCTGGGGGCTGGATTCGGTTTGCAATAAGAAAGTCATGAGAAAAAACAAAAATAAAATGGCTGAAGTGATCAGTGTAATGCAAGGGCAAGTCTGAGTATGGGCAATTGCGGCAAGGAGAAGAGCAGGAGATGGGGCTAAGATGAACGAGTCTGTGTGACTGTGCCCTGACCCTGACTTTACAGTCTCCATAGAATAAATAAGCATGCTAGAATCTGATCCAACAAGAGCTCTAAAGACTAGACTCCTCAAAACAAGGTTTTGACTTGACTTTTCAGTTCTAGGAGAAACAAAAGTTTGTATAAAAGCTTTACATAATGTGAAGGTGACTTAAACTTCAAAGCTACACTATGTAAGATCTGGGGATTTGGAGACCTAAATGTATAACTGTATGCAACAACCAGAGGTATATTTTCTAACATCGGTTGTGCTTCGTACCCCTTCACCGAGAAGAATTTGATTGCGAGTGCTTTGAAAGAGTACTCAGAGAATTCAGTCAGAATTTGGTGAGGGGCATGCCTTTCAAGGATATATCTACTACTGTCATCATATCTTCATCAGTGTAATGTTAATTTTGAATTTGTGAACTTAACATTGAGACACACCTTCTTTTTGAGCCTGTGCATGACATTAATACATAAAGATGTACACGCAGTCCTAAAAATATCATACCTTTAAAAAAGGTTCCTAATACTTGCACACCTCATTTACAAAACCACTATTCTATGGTTCTATGGTGTACATATAAGCATCCGTCAGATATATGCATACTTAGCCAATGTTTCTCCATGTTTCTCCATTTCTCCAATAAACACCAGCTAACTGGCAGTTTGCCATAACAATTAGAGACTGTTGAGTAGTCTTTAGAATATTTTCCACCATCTACACCAGTTTATCTGCCTTGTTAGTTCTTTTCCTGGCTATTTTAACACCAACTATCAACATTAGGTACGCTTTTCTTTTTTGGTCAGAGTGTTTTGGGCTTACAGTGTTAAAGGAAAACTGCAGAGTCTCCTGTCCATCTATCCGCCACATCTGTAGTATAGTATAAATTACCATGGACAACAATTTCAATGTATTTTTGTTTTTAGAACAAAACAAATAAACTCTTTGACTAACTTAAAAGCCAACTTCAGTTCCTACCCAAAAGCTTTTAGTGTGTTTCAAGAACATAGATTATCAGTTCCTGTATTAAGTACAGGGAAACACATCACTGTCTGTGGTCATATACTGTATGCTACAGATGTGGCATAGAGAGCTTAGGTTAAAAACCTTGAACTGAGAAACCACATCTGTGTGAACTGTAGTGTTCATGTTGAGTTAATCCACAATTCTAGCAACTTTAAATGAAGCTAAATCTTTTGTGTGCTTGTGGAAAACTGGTATTTAGATCAGCGTCTGAGCAGAAGCACTAGTGTGAGCCATTAATATTACAATCACGCTTGGCATGTTAATTCATCTCTCCAACAGCTGCCAGATAAAATCAGCTACAGGCAGAGTGTTGCTGTAAGCTACCATTAGGTGTGCAGTTTTTCTTAATGCAATAACATGCCCAAGTCCACAGTCATGTTTCATAGTGTGAGATGCGCCTCCAACAGAACAGAGTTACTTTAATTGTGTCTGGCAGCTGTAAATAAATGACTGTTGCTTTAGCAGTTTGCCCTTTTTGATGAATGTCGTGGATGGGAAGCTAGTACACGTGAGCTACACCTAACTTAGTTAGGAGTCAAATGAAGGAAAGTTTGGTATGAGTCAAAGATAGGACATGTCACGCTACACTAATGTGATGCATGCCAGTATGCATTAGCATGTATGTGGATTTGTGAGTGTCACGCTCTTGTATATGTGTGGGGGTGTGTGAAGTTGTAACTCACCGTGGACCTGCAGTGTTCCTGATGCCTCAGCTTTGCCAACACTGTTCTCAGACACACAGGTGTACGTTCCTTCATCCTCCGCTCTCACCTGCGTCAACCGCAGACTGTTGTCGCTCCGTATTTCTGACCTTTAGAAATACATAAAAATTAACTATTGACCATTACAGTACATAACAGCAGAAGAAACAGTAGGTCTTAGCGACTGAGGCAGTTTTATTTCTAAGAGGCATTTTTTATAGTCATTATGCAGTCAGGGGCAAAGTTTGGGTGCCTCTGGTAAAATTATGTTTTAGTGATTTTCTAATTGAAAAGTTAACACACCCTCTAAATAAATTTAATATACTGGAGAAAATAAACCATAAAATGTGGCCTGTTTTAGATGTTAAACTCAGCAAAGAAATAGAAATTGTGCAAAAGAAATGCAGAAAATGTCATATTTACATCTGTTCCTTGTAGAAGTTAAAACGTCAGTAAAAACATCATTTGCCATCTGTTGAAATGTAGCATACAACTGGACATTTTGAATTAAAATCAGTTATTTTCATACCAGTAAGCTGAAGCCAGCGCGTACATATACACTACCGTTCAAAAGTCTGGAATTATTAGCAATATTAATAATTGCTCTTTCAAAAAAATCATATATACAGTGCAGATAATAAAACTAATAAAAACATATAAAATAAACATTTTAGAAGTTTTATTCAATGTTTACATTTTGGGCTACAACAAGAAATTACTAAATGATAAGTATCATACTGTCATTATTTATATGGGTTTTTCTTTATTTAAAAGAGTGAGTTTAAACTTTTGAATGGTGATTTCAAACTTCTGAGTGGAGGTGTATGTGCGTAGGTTTATGTTCAGGTGTTTGTATATGTGTGTGAAGGTGCGTTACCTGCCACGGGGCAGTTCCCCCTCCTCTCTCCTCCAGCGGATAGTTGGGGCAGGGTCTCCCTGGACTTCACACTGAAAATCCACTGTGTCATCAGCCAGAACCACCTGATTGACCGGCCGCCGCACAAACATAGGCCGCTCTTCATGAGGGAGACAGAAGGGAGGGGAATAAGGTTAAGTGACTATTGTAACCAATAATGCAACCAATAAGTTGGTTAACTACAGGAGTGTAAACATCACTTAAGATTTTTTAAAAGATGATTCAATGAATCATGATCTCACATTGTCATTCAATTCAATTATAGCAGAATATAGACTATTAAAAAATATACACCGATCCTTTTTTGTATTTACATTTAATAGCCTGACAATTCTGCCCCAAAAAATTAATGCATACTTCTACTATTGTAATTGATTTTTAATTCATTCAGACATTTCAAAATCAATGTAGCTGAGTTGCCACATTGAATGCCTTCTACACTCCTAATACAGCATATAATTTGTCATATTAATAAGGAAGAGATATTAGAGAGGGAGAGATGCAAGCTTACCAAACACCACTAGCTCAGCTGGATCACTGTCCTTTTCTCCCACCATGTTGGTCCCCACACACACGTACATTCCTGCATCGCTTTTCCGCGTGTTTGAAATCATCAACTTCCCGCCGCGGATCTGCACAGTAAACAGCACATCACACACATCATTCAGGGCCTGTAACCAGAGCCTGGACACAGCATCCTGTAGCTGGATGGCTGATCAAAGACCAGTTGTCTTCTTAGACATCCTTTCAAATACAGCTATATTCTCAAAGAGGCGTCTATGGATCTGATATTCAAAAGATAAACTGAAATGTTTGCAGCTGTCTACACTGATGCCAGTCACTGCGCTACAAGGCTACACTGATCCGGTTTGCATCCAGTTTGTAGTTACTAGGCTTTGCTTTTGTTGTGCAGTATTACTGTTTTGTTAATTGCTTTTTCTGTTGTGTCCATTGCTGTAGCACTGGGAAGTCATGAATAAACATTTCATTTTTATTTTGAACAGATTCCTGTTAACAAACACATGGCAGATAAACCTGAAATTGGAACAGCTGTGTTTTGGTTGCAGTGCAGTAGCTGGAGTATAATACATTATTTGCAAAAAACTTTAGAAGATTTAATTATTATTATCAATGGGATACAGAAATTACAACTGACAATCACAACCATTTATTATATTTTTACACAACAAGAGTCCTTGGGCAAAATTACTAATGCTACATTTGACTACCATTGTAAATGGTTCTGGATAAAAGTCTCTGATAACTAAGGTACAAAATGTTCAGTCATTGTAATAAATGTCTCATTGTCACAGCAAGGTGTTAATTACTGGTCATCACAGTGTCCAGAAATCCCATGTTGGTGCATCCCTAGTGCTCAATGTATTTCAGACAGCACTTCCTCCATACCTATGTACCTATGTTTCATATTCAAGCAAGACTTGTTTACTGCAGTCAACAGAGCAGGTTCAACATATCCAGGTACTTCAGCCCACAGAGCAAGACTAGCATTGCTGTTTATGCAATGCTTGACACCGAGAGAGTGTTCCCGCTGATGTATTTGGAATACACTGTCAAAGTCCATTTAGATAAGTGACTTGCACAAGTGTTATGGGCTATGGAAATCTGCGTGGGCCTCCACATGAGAGAGAGAGGCAGAGAAAGAGAAGAGAGAGAGAGAAAGAACAGGCAGCAAGGTACTCACATTGGATACAGCCACGGGATGAGTGGATGAAAGGATTGCGGAGGAGGGAGAGGGAGAGCGAGAGGAAAAAAAGCGAAAGAAAGAGGAAGTGGGTGCAATGAAAAGATTGTAGAGCAGGAGAGAGAGAGAGAGAGAGAGAGAGAGAGAGAGAGAGAGAGATGACTTACGGTGATCCTCTCGTCCTTGTCGTTCACTTTCACGTTGTTCCTCTTCCATGAGATGGTGGGCTCGGGGTGGCCACGTGGGGGAATGCACTCCATAACAGCCGGCTCCCCTGCAGCTACCACCACATCACTGGGAGTCTGCCGGAAATCATCCCGTAGAACTGTATGGAAAGAGAGAAAGAAAGAGAGAGAGAAGGTGAATGACTGCATCTCAGGTCTACTTTTGTACAATTCAATACAATAAAACCCAAAACAAACTATGTAGCATGGTATAATAATAGTATGGTATAATTGTACAGTATAATATATAATACCATACAGCACAACTCATCCAATTTTTTAAGATACAGTGCTTTAAAGTTGCTAACAAACAAGACAACATCACCCAATCTGGCCATTGTTTAATAACTTCAGCAGTAAAATATAGGCACGAAATGTAGACCTGGAAATTTGCATAAATACTTGAAACATTCACCATTTAAAGAGCTTGGTCTTTTGAACCTACTTAGCTGCTTAAACTAGACACCTGGCATCTTTTCTTACTTCAAGTACATTAATACTTGGGCTAAATTTCTGAGCTGCTGAGCTCACGTTAGCTGTTCATACTGAACTGCAGCTGAAATGCAGCTGGTGTGTTTGGTGATATGACTGGTGTGAAACTGTTGCATAAAATACAGTAGAATTGAGGTGTAACTGCTGTCCCATAGACTGTTGTTGGAGTAGGAGAGTCAGAGCGCACATTAAGTTGCAGTGCATGCTAGGGACTGTAGTGCAATGCACTGCCAAACTGGCTAATATTAATAGAAAATTAAAATACTTGGCAGGCCGGATAGGATAATGTTGCAGGCCTGGTCTGATCCACGAGCCTTGTGTTTGACACATGGGCATTATGGTGCGAAATGGGACACATATATTCAGGTTCAATACAATTTTCAATTCTGAAGTCTGAGTTTGATATGATTTTTATGATTTATGATTTTAGAACACTAATTCAAGACTACAAAGTACTTTAGCAAAATAATGATATTAAAAAACATTTCAACTGAGCTATAAACAATGCAAAAATAGACAGGATGTTTAGTTTTTATCACTAACAGTTGTTTCCACAAAAAAGCCAGAGACTAGGGAGCATACAGGAGCATTTTTACAGTTTTAAATTTCAATGCCCTGTGTCAAATGTTCTTTTTGATATTTTTAATATTTTTAATATTTTTGATACTGTATTGAAATTGTACATGCTTAGTTTGCAGTGATGTGCTTAAATATATTAGATGGGAAAAAAACCTTGAAGTCTTTTTTGCTGATTGTCCCTTACATTGATTGAAGTTTTTTCATTATTTACCAACAAATTTAACACAAAGCTCTGAATGTCATATGGATGTGTGTATATAATTATGTTTGCAATAATACATTAGGAACAAAATAAGTTATTTAATTAATCAGTATACTATGCTGCAGTTAGTGTTTCACTGTGGCTCCAGTCAAACTCCTGTGTTTACATAATAGAAAACACATTACTGTCTGCTATCTCTTAAAAAAAAATCATGTTCATGTTCATTTAATGTTATTCATGATTATTTTTACAAAGCTAATGTTGCTTCTGAACTTTTGCCTTTAGTGTACACATTGGTCGCTTTAATAATGAAGCTGGGTTTATCTTTGGTTGGAGCATTCTTTGCCCACTATCTCTCCCTTTGGTCTCAATTTACTCCTTGTCCCACGCCTGACTCATAAATAAATGAACTAGTTCCCTTCTAGCACAAAGGCCATGAATAATTGAATGAACTAGACGCTGGTGAAAAAGTGCCGCTCCAAACAAATAGGAAATATTTACTTTATTTCCACGGACACAGACATAAACAGTCTGAATGCTTACATAAACGGAAATATACAGCACACACACATCATTTTGCCCCTACACATGGTAAACACCCGTGCTCAGCACAGAGACACATACTAACACAGAAAAAAACACACACACACACAACAGAAGTTATAACTCCAGACCAAAAACCCTTCAATCGACCTTAGCACATCTTCAGGGCTGATGCCATCAGCTGGACTCTCAATCAGCATTTCCATTCTACTGCCATTTATCAGATTCTTCTGTAGCAGCACTTCCATTCCTTTAATCTGAGCAGGCCTATCTCTCCCTCCCCTGCCCTCTGTTCAATCACTATTTTGGCCTGCACGTTTCCAATCAGTCTGTGCCCCTGAGCTAGCACCGCTCAGGGATTGCGCGAGGATAGACTTTATGAAGCGAAGGGCCATTTCGATATTGCGCTGGACCGGGTCCAATATAACACCAAACCACTGCCCCTCACTCCAAACGCCAATATCCAGCAATCCCCCACTAAATATATGTGCCGAAAAAGACCCGTCTTCTCCACTCAACACGCACAGAGACGGGAGCAACGGTGAAGGTTTTTTAAAATTTTGCTACAGATAACAGAGAAATCCAGACTACCAGGTATATTACAACTTTTTTCAACAGTTATTACTTTTGTCTTCCAAAAAACCGTAATTCTGTAATTACAAATTATCACAATAAGAAAAAAAAAAAAAACCTTCTGTATGGACTGGCGACCTGTCCAGGGTATTTCCTGCCTTCTGCCCAATGACTGCTGCGTGTGTGTGTGTGTGATTCTGTATTGAGACGTTGAGTCTGACATCTGATTCTTTTCATCAAAATTTATTTTGATGTCATGCCATTAAAAATGGTGGCACAAATGTAAAGGAAGGTTTTTCTTCCTGCAAAACAACTGTATGCAAAACATTAACACAATAAAGCAACAGCAACAACCATAAAAATCCCATTCTTAGTAATGAATTTCAGTTGTAGTGTAGATGTGTTCTGTAATATTATATTTCAAATTTAACTCAACTCAAAGCTTTTATTACACTCTTTCATTATCTAAGAATAGCTCAGCCAGTTTGCACTGAAGCCCCTGTAGTTACTAATTAATATGCCTGTAATAAGCCTGGGATTTTAAGGGGTTAAATCGCTAGGCTACCAAAGCTGAACTATGTTGCTGTAGCTAATCAAATGTAAGCAGTTTGGAAATAACAACACGTTTTTCACCATTTTGACATTATATTAAAACATGACAAACAACAACACTCATTCTGTCCTGACCTTTCACTCTCATACAAAATAAATATTATTTGTATCAAGTTAATAAAGCACTTTAAATGCATGTACTTGTCCAACCATTGCTATGAAAGAATGTATCTGTGGGTGGAATATGAATAGGTCAATTGTGCTTTTTAATATATTGAAATGCATGTTGCAACCACAATATGTTGAATAGAGCAGCAATATGGTATTTTGCTCATACTAATTTGCCCTCATCATGTGTATCTGTTATATACAATGAATTTGTTCAAGAGTATTTTAGATCTAGATCCGAACTGAAGTTGAACTGATTGCAGAAAGACATGGAGTAGACATACTGCTCACGGAGCACTCTAAGTCAGCACTCTGAGGGGTTTACACACGGCTGCTGTTGGTCGTGAATGATTAAAGAGACTGCAGCTGGATCATTGTGGCTGAGTTCATCTCCCAAGGTACCGTTCTGTGTGAGGGCTTCCAGACCTTTATGGACTTTCGGTCAGTGGAGCTTCTCAGAGTGGTCTTGTCTCATAAAGAGGATAAACGGCTTACATAGATTAAATAGGAAAGAATCTCTCCCTTTCACATTATACACATAATGCATATATCTATTATTTCTATGTCTGATTCTGTTGATTTTGTGTCTGTTTTTGGTGGGGAGGAGATACATTACAGAGCTAAGGTGTATGTATGTGTGTGTGAGTGTGTATGTGTGGTAGCAGTAGCAGTCAGTGGTGTGAGAGTCTATAGGTCTATTATGTAATGAGCTTCAATTATTTTCGAGGTTCAAAAATTTGCCGCAAATGCTGTTCTATGTTCTAATGACGCTGATTCAGCAAATATTCCAGTAATGGCTGGAACCACTACGTTTTTCAATGAACGCTATATGTCCTGACAAATGCCCAGTGTATCCCAAACATGCATGAAGAATAGAATTAGCTCCATGCAGAAGTCATTAATACATTATAATGGTTCTATGTTTGAATCTGTCTGTTCTGTGTTAGTGGAAATAAACGGGTATCTATGTATTTGTGTGTGTGTTGGGGCATATATGTGTGTGTCGCATGTGTGTGTGCTCTCTCTTGGTGGGGAGGAGATACTGCCATTAGGCCTGAATTACAGAGCTAATGTCACTACAATGTCAGCCTAGCAGAGAGAGAGAGATAAATGAGGCAGTTTTGCTTGCTTGCTTGCGTGCGTGCGTGCGCTTGTGTGTGTGTGTGTGTGTGTGTGTATGTGCATATGTATTTTAATGAAGAGTTGTGACAACCAAACTTATGGATTTTAATGTTAACCCTTGGGGTGTCTCCTTTATTCATCTGTGATTGATAAGAGTTAGGCTCTGCTAGGCTGCCTCCATCACTTTAAATGTCAGAAGAGAATACTAGTATCTATGATATGAATATACATAAGAGGGCTGCAGCACAAAGGCCTGATGGGTGATAAATTATGGCCTTGACTTGAGAAATGTGACTGTAATTCCAATTTCTTCTTATAGCTAATTTTCCCTGTGCTATGACAAAGACACATACCTTGGCAGAATGCATTATAGCCTCATGATCAGTCTACACCAATGTACAGTCTGTAACTTTGCAATACAAATAAGCACAGGGAGAGAAAGAGAAAGAGAAAGAGAAAGAGAAAGAGAAAGAGAAATGAAGACTTTCCATACTTGCATGGCCAATACTCATTTCTAATGTAACATAAAATCTGCAGTCCCAGTGAAATGACACTAGAAGTACAACTCAACTAAAGCCCACCGTGCCTTATCTTATCAACAGCATAAAGTTTTGAATGTAAACCTGACTTTAGCAAAATTCTGTCAAACTCACTGGGCTACAAATTTAAAACTCTATACAACTATAGCCCAACAAAATGCTGTCAAAACTCAACTATAGCCCAACAAAATGCTGATGAAACTCAACTATACCTCAACAAAATCTGGCCAAAATCTGGCCAAATCTGACCACAGCTCAACAAAATTCTGGCCAAACTCAATTATAGCCAAACAAAATTTTGTTTGAACCAGACAATGCCCAGTAAAATTCC